CCAGTACTTTTCTATTCATATCAGCAAGAAAGATATATTATTCCCCACACACCCAAGTGGAAGATTAATTTCTTTATTGGTTGACAGGGTGTGTTAGTCAGCTTTCTGTTACTATGACAAAGGGCTGAAGAAAAACAACCATGAGGAGGTCAAATTTACCTTGACTCAGTTTCCAATGTTTCAATCATTTGTCCTAGTTGCTACCAGGCTGGTGAGGCAGGGCATCATGGGAGGGAAACATGGTACAGAAAGCTGCTCACCTCATGGTAGCCAGGAAGCTGAGAACACAAAAGTAAGAAGGATTGTGATAGAAGCAGGAGAGGAGAATATATGGGAGAGAAAGGAAGGGAAGAGGAAGAGAGAAAGACTAGCGATAAGATAAAGATGTACACATTAGTCATGGCTCCAGCGACCTACTTTCTCCAACCAAGTCACACCTTCTGATAATGTAGCTATTTAAACTACCATTTAGCTATGAATTCATCAATGGGTTAACCCTTTCAGGAAGCTATTACAAGTGTTTTTTTCCTGCCGGTCTTGGCCCACTACCACGCCAGCCCCCAATAACACACAGAGACTCTGTATTAGATATAATTCTGTTGGCCAGGTACTAATTTCTTATCTGCTAGCTCTGTCTTAAGTATTAACCCATTTCTATTAATCTAAGTATTTCCACGTGGTCTCATCTTACCGGAGAGTGGGGCCAGCATCTGCTCTCTCCAGTCTCTACATGCTGACTCCTCCCTACTACTTCCTCGAATCATCCTTGTCTCCTAGTCCCGCCTATCTTGCTTTCCTATTGCCAACAGTGCTTTATTCATTAACCAATAAAGGAAACATATTTACAGAATGACATCTCCCATCAGGAAGCTAGTGTCCTTATGATCTAATCCCCTCAATAATGCTGTCATAGAGGGGAACCAATACTTAAGCACATGAGCTGTGGGGGACATGTCACAGTCAAACTATAACATAGGGTCCTTTTTTATAGCACACATTCAAATACCTGGGTCAATGGAGATGTTTCACTCACCAAATAGAATAATCCATTTAAAAGTTAGGAAGTTTAGGTCTAGAATATAACAGAGAGAGAGAGAGAGAGAGAGAGAGAGAGAGAGAGAGAGTCTTCCTTTAGAGAATTACAGGACACATTGCTGGAGATACAGCATTCTTTTGTTATAAGACATAGAGAAGTCAAACTCAAACTGACTTGAAGATTTCCCCATTGCTGGCTAGTTTCCACAGTGCCAAAGAGTGCTATGCAGGCCCTTGGGCAGAGGAAGTCATTAATGGTATTAGCCATCGGTGAATTTTAAGCACTGCAATACTGACCTGCCAGGCAAGATGTGCCCATGAGTGTAATAGTGGCATGAAGGGTGGTTATTGGGGTAACCAACTGCTTTCTCATTTGATCTGAGGCATGTTGTACAGGAGGGAATTCATGTCTGGTACTGTAAGTAAACCTGGTCAAAAAACCATGACTCCAGATGTCATAGGCCCTAGGAGGAAACCTACTACTATTACTTTACTAAATTGATATATTATCAAACTGCCGTCTGAATATTTGTGTTTGTGCTCACAGATTAGCACTGTCTTTCTGTTAGACAGCAGTTAATGCAGAGACTATTAACTGGCCAAAGTGCTGAAAATAACGTGATGTTTGAGTGTTGAGCCCTAAATGAAACATCTATGAAACCCCTCCCACAAGGCCCAGGGAACATCTCAGAAAAGGAAGTAGAATGCTATGAAAGGCTGTGTTCTGACCATGACTCGGGCATTACACTCATGAACTCACAACCGTAATGGTCACATACCCGCACAAGATCTACATAAGATCAAGCCAACAAGACCGCTCAATATTCCAATACCTCTAATTGGACTCAGTGGATTATGAAATTTTAAAATTTAAGGACATAAAAGTGGGACAGGTGGTATTGAGGGGAGTAGAGAGGGAAGTTGGAATAGAGATGATCAGGATACATTGTGTACATGTACAAAATTGTCAAAGAATAAGAGATTTAAAGATTTAAAAAAAAAAAAGTACGCAAAACAAGTGGTTGCTTTATCCCATTGTCTTGAGCTCTTTGCTCATTCTAAAATGGACAGTTTCCAAACTGAGCGACCAAGCACTGTTAGGGGCTTGTGGCAGAGGTGCAGGCCTCACTGGGTGGGTCCCCTGGCTACAGCAGTGCCATTTCCCCTAATCTGTTTACATCCCAAGAGTTCATGCAAGCAAAAGTTTTCTTTGCTTGAAAAGCTCCTCCCTGAAGACTTTAGGTCGATTTTCAATTTCCCAGAAATTAATACATTTGTTTACCTGACCCAGAGTGCTTTCATATCGCCCGAATCTAACACCTTAATCCAACTTTAGCACACAAAGCTATTTTCTCCTCTGAATGTCTGTCCTTGGACGGCTTCTCACAATGAATATTTTTGGAGCACCTTGATAGTGTGCTTATGTCACAGGCAGCTTAGGAGCTCCCGTGCGTGCATTCATTCGTGGCAATCCTGAGTTCTTTGCAGATACAAATTGCCCAGACCGGAAAGGGAGAGCAAGGGACAGGACAGCCCTCGAACCCTTAAAGCAACCCCTGCGCTCTTTCCCCTTAAAGGAAAATGGCCATAGGAAGCCTGTGTCTCCTCAGCTCCTCCTCCCCAGGGTGCCTCCTCCATTCTCAGTCCTCAGGGGTCCATTCCCATTCACCTTTTGGGCATTCTGTCTCTTCCTCAGGAAGCCCCCTCTGGTCTGGTAGCAAACAGACGGGAGAGTGGGGAGCAACCGAGTAGAAGCAGGAGAAATCTGTAATCATTGCAGATGTGGGGAAACCTTCTCCAGTCATCTAAGACTTACTTCATAGGCCCTGGGGACCCTGTGGAGAACTGAACGTGACATCCCTGCCTTCCTGGAGCTTACATTGTTGTGGGAAAAGCAAAAAGAAACGGTACACGATAACCATGTTGAGAAGCAATGACAAAGTCGGTGTAGTAGGCCACACCTTTAATCCCAGCACTCTGGAGAGAGAGGCAAGCCTGTCTCTGTGAGTTTGGGGCCAGTCTGGTCTCCATAGGGAATTCCAGGACAGCAGGGAATAAGCAGTGAGGCTTTGTTAAGAAAAGGAGGAGAAAAAAAGAGGAACATCAGCAGCGGCGGGAACAAAGAATGTTGTCCACATCCGTGAAACAAAACAAGTTGGCAGAAGATGCATAGAGACAAGGGTGCTTCTAGGTGATCAGAAAATGCTCGGTCCCAAGTAACAAGGAGATAAGGAGATACAGGCCTTGCCACACCCTAAGAGAGAAGTTGAGCCAAAGTGAACGAGGTACACCAAAGTCCTGGCCAGAAAAAGAGTTTGGCATACTCCCCACGCAGGAAAAAAAGCCATCATGGCAAAGAACATGAATGAGGGACAGTAGGTAAAGAGATGAGCGAGGACGGACCATAGGCTTCCCATGGCAGCACATGGAGTTTTAATAAATGTAACGGGAAGCCATTGGAAGAGCCTAAGCAGGGAAATGCCATCTTTAAGCAGAAAAGGGGTGCTGAGTGCTTGAGCTGGCTTGGGAGGACTCTCCCCCAAGAACAAGAGCATCTGAGTCCAGAAACAGAAGCAGGCTGGGGCGGCGGGGGAGGGTGGGTGCTTAGCACACTTACTGAGTTTGGATCTTCTATCCCAGGCCTTGGAGAGCTATCCATGACCAAACGGCCAGCCTGGAGGCCCTAATTCACAGAGATCTCCAACTTCCCTTCCCAAAATCTTAATCCAATTTGTTCAGCAGTTTCTTAATACATGTGACTCAGCCTCAAATACACACACCCATGTGTCTATGTAAACTAAGGAGCTTAAAGAGCTGGCCTTTAAAATTGTCAAGAGCTGTAAGATCTGACAGCCACATTCAATTGGGTGTGTTTTCTGGAATGACTCAGTGACAGGAGGAAGCCACTTGTGAATAGACTGAGAAGGAGGAAGTTCTCAGTTAGCCAGGTCCAGGGGATTTGGGTGCTTCTGGCCTGAAGCCATGTCACACAGAGAACATTCATCTTAGCAGTAAGGTTTTACTCTAATGATGGCTCTGGGGCTCATGACCTCATGAAGGATGTTCTAGAAAAAAGAAGACTCATCAGCTCTCCCAAAACCAGACCATGGAAGCAGCTACTTGCTTCACCCACACATATCAAGTCTAGAGCATCACTTTAGTTAACAAATGAAAATAGCCTGATTTTACAGGTGGATACGTAGCTTGAGGGCTTTTGTGTAAGCATGGTATCTTCTCATTGCCGGCTGTCCATACACTTAGTGTTGTCTCAAACCAGGACACTTGGCTTAGTTCCCAGGTACTTCTGAGACACGAAGTGCCAACCTTGTCTCCACTGGACTCAGTACATCTCCAACCGATTATGCTTTTCCATCAGAGTGATCTTGAGTAGATAGAAACAGGAAGGGTAGAGAGAAACAGGGAAGGCGTAGAGGGTCCAAGTGGGTGTGACACCCCACACCTTCCCCTCAACTAGCGCAGACTGAATCATCTGTATGTTTTCCTATGAGGCAGCCTTTACTCAAAAAGAATGAGAAAGAGAAACAAGCTGGGCAAAGCGGGGCGTGGGGGTCTTGGGAAGCCTACAGCTAACTTTGAGGTGCTAGGCTGAGGCATTTGCAGAGTGGGTTTCAGTTTAGAAGGTTGTGTGTAGATGTTGCAGGATGCTCTCAGATTTCAGAGAAAGCAAGAGGAGGTATAGGCTGTATTCCAAGCCAGCTTCAAAGCCACGATTGGTGGGAGGTGAGGCATGGATTAGAAGAGGCCACACAGGGCTCTGGACTTTAAAAAGCCACGAAGCAAAAATTCCCCACCCACAGCTATCCTTGCTGGGGTTCCAGGCTACCTGCTTCCACTCAGGAGAAATTCTAGTTGCTTCCCCCTCGATCCTTTCTGCTCAGTTCTGTAGCTGGTATCGGAAAGTATTCCCGCCTAGAGCCAGGAGGCCAAACTTATTCACCAGAGCCATGCCTTGCCCATCCCAGAGCTCAGATGAGCTGGTGTTCTTTGTGAACGGGAGGAAGGTAAGTGGTGGGTAGAGTTAGCCCTGTGACTTGCAGCGGGGGGGGGGGGGGGACCCTGTCTCCAGGGGGGGGGCGCTCTGAGGAATCTGGACTGAGGCTCCCAGTCTGAGACAAGAAGCCCAGGTTCAGGAACCCATCCTGACTTGCCTTTTCTGCGCTCAGTCAACACTTGGGTCCTGGCAATGGAGAGATGGGATAACCTTGGACTCTGCACAGCCTTGGTGCTGTCAGTCAACCCACACCCGCACTGCACTGCACTTTATCATATAACCTGATGCAAATAACTTCACCTCCCTGAGCTCTGAGTCCTCCTGTGGTATCGTGGTATCTTCTTCCCCAGCAGTGGCAAAAAAAAAAAAAAAAAAAAAAAAAAAGATGCCAAGGAAGCTGCTCCTGTCAGTGGTTCAGGGGCAGTTCACCCTGTAACACCATTCGCGATTCAAACTCCACACGTGTTTGAATGTAAATGGATCCGTCTTTGTTTTTCTATTTATCAAATCTATGGCAGTGGTTCTCAACCTTCCTAAAGCTGTGACCCTTTAATACAGTTTCTCATGTTGTGGTGACTCGAACCATAAAATTATTTTGTTGCTACTTCATAACTATAACTTTGCTACATGCATCATAATGCAAGTATCTGTCTGTGTTTTCCAATAGTCTTAGGCGACCCCTGTGAGAGGGTCATTAGACAACCACCCCACCCAAACCCCCCCCCAAGGGGTCATGGCCCACAGGTTGAGAACTGTTGCTCTATGGCGCCCCCACTATATAGGAGGGTTGAAATGTAAGAGCAATCAGCCTGGAGGCCCCCCTTTTCCTGGGTTTCAGGCTGTTCTGGGGGAAAATATGAACAAGGACAGAGCCTCTCAGTTGCTACTCCCTGAGAGCCTCCTCCCTGGCCTCACCGCCCCCTCACACAGGACAATGGCTACTTTGAGAGTGCCCAGGTCCTACTCGTCATTAGCTCCCTTCTGCCCTCCAGGAACGCACAGCTTTTATGGAGTCTCACCACCTCCCTCCAAGAGCTTTTCCAACCTACAAACCTAACCAGGACTCAGCCATGTCTGCCCCACCTCAGGAACACTGACCAGAGGAAGCAGCCTGAGACCTGGAGGGCTCCTCGTTGTCCTGCACACATTCCCTCCTGAATGTAGCATCCTCAGGCAGCTACTGCCACACCCTTCTACAGACATCACTCATGAGCTGAGTTATAAATGGTTTTTCCATTTGGAGACCCAAAGGCCAGAGGGGATTCCTTCCTCTGTCAGCCCCAGCTCGAATTAAAAGCCCATAGTGACATGGCTATAGTCAGAACAGAGAATAAGTTTCCAGATGGAGGGGAGAGGGGAGGGAAGGGACGGGGCAGAAAAGTCTGCGTGGTGGGAGTCTGTGAATAGTTTGTATAGGGGCAAGGCTGTTTTTAAAGGGCCTGGGGTGAGAGGGAGGGCCACAGAGGAGAGGTTTGGTTGTTGTTCCATTGATGAGGCACCTCCCCCAGCCCCAGGGAATGAGTGGATGGTTCTCACCTTAGAAATATCCTACAGATTTCTATTCTTTGAGTTATGCAAAAGTGAGTGTCTGCCTTCTGAGGGGAAAGTAAGACACTAGTGTTAGCCCAGTGAACCTTCTTTTCCTGTCCTTTGACAGCCTACTCTCCTGTCACACAGCAGAGTGGCAAGAGGTGTTCACATGACATCCCAAGGCAAAAGCAAAGTGACTTTTGTTATGAACACCCCACTTTCCAAAGGAAAAGATGGGAGACGTCTAATGTCCCACTAGAGCCACGCTACATCTTGAGCAAGGTATCAAGGCTCACCAGCAGATGACTCAATGTTAGGGGACCAGCAGTCCCCAGAGCCTCTCCTATAACAATAACTCCCCAATGACTTTCTGTGGCAAACTCCAGACCCCTGAGGTCATCAATGTTTCCTACAGCTGCCCCAGAGATGGCAGAAATGTTCCATACAGCTTTCCTGCCTGTGGGATCTGCTCTGAACAAACACAACCCAAGTTTAAAACCCTTCCAAAGACTCAGTCGGGAGGTTCCACGAGGCTGGACGGCAGAGCAAATGTAGAAAACGCAGAGGTATCATCACACCACAGTGGCTCCTGGCTTCTGCCCCCACAGAAAAGCATGTTGCTACACTGGCCATGTAAGGCTCCTGCCCTGTAAATGGACACTGTTTGCTCTCAGAGAAAGTCTGGGCTGTGACACCCCACCTCCTACATCAAACAGATCAAGCAGGCCACCACAGACATCCTACTGAGTCATCAATCAATCCCATAATCTCTTCTGTTTCCAACGCAGGTGACAGAGAAGAATGTGGACCCGGAAGTCACTCTGCTGGCTTTCCTGAGAAAGAACTGGATCCTTTTGGTCAAAGTCTCAGCCATGTCTATGCATGCCTTACAGAACTTAATAACTTAAGCCTCTGTGGCTGTGAGAGGTAATCACGCTCCAGCCAGCCCTCTGCTTTTGGCAGTGGCTTGAAGAATATCAGGTTAACATTGCTTATGTGTGATTGAATAGCATGAAATAGAAGCTAAGGGGTTTATTTCAGCCCTGCTGCAGGGGTGTTATATAATAGAGACTCAGGTTGCCTGTGACCTGCCCTTAACGAAACCAAATTCTCAAATCTAGGGACTGACTATGGCAAGGGTAAAGACTCCTTTACTTTATATCTATTTTCTTATACCAGATTTCCCCCATCATCTTATATCCTGGATCACAGATCTTCATAATGAAAAATGCATTTTAATCAGTAAACCTGATGGATTGCTCAGGGAAGCCAAAATATAAATAATGAAACTAAATGATGGGAATAACATATTGATGAAACTGGCCTCTGAACAAGTTTTGTTTGGTTTCTAATTAGCTGTAAATATTTGGAAAATGAGGACATTTTGTGTTTTAGCCAATCAAGACTTTGTTGAACAAATGGGGAGGTGGCCAGCCCTTCACACAGAGGTTGTGCTTGGAGCTGGCTGAGGACTATCCACGGTCCCATCTCCAAAATGAGGTTCAAAAATCTCAGTTTGTCTCCCAGGCTCCTCTTCATTTACATAACCCTCTGACCTGCATTTGAAGTTATGAACCAATGACCCCGTTAGGAAAAAAAGACAACAACAAAAAGCAGAGAGTAGCAAGGAATGGATGAGTTTAATGTCTCGTGGATATTTTAATCACAGCTGATGGAATAACTTTGTGGAAACACAGTTAGCAGGGAGAGTAAGTATAGAGACAGAGCCAAGGCAGAGCCCAGCTTTGAGAATGGTTGGAGAGAGTTAGAGTAGAAGAGTATTCAGGGCCGAGCCTGAAGGCAAGGATAGGAACAAGACCTAGAGAGCCATCACCCACGTTCAGATGCAATGCAGCCAGAGGAAGGCTGGATACCAATGCCTTTACCTACTACAGGACAAAACTGCAGTGCATTGTTATTAAAGATAGTTCTTCTCTGGGCTGAAGAGATGGCTCAGTGGTTAAAAGCACTGGCTGCTCTTCCAGAGGTCCTCAGTTCAAGTCCCAGGTCCTCAGTTCAAGTCCCAGCAGCCACAGGGTGGCTCACAGCCTTCTGTAATGAGATCTGGCGCCCTCTTCTGGTCTGCAGGGATACATGCAGAACACTGTATACATAACATATAAACAAATTTAAAAAAAAAATAGTTCTTCTCCCCTGGTTACATGATTGGAGCCAGAAGAAGACATAAGAAAGAAGACATAAGAATACCTTATAATGAAATAGGGTTTGTCAAAGGAGTTTCACCTTAAACCCCACAAGATGCTTATAGTGAGCCTGCCATGGGGATGCAGGTATTGCTTCTTCCTCTCCACGAAGTAAAACAAGACAGAATGGGCTAGTATGTCCAGGGACACACTCTAATCAAATGGTTTCTCAGACTATGAATGTATCTCACCCCATGAAACCTTTCACACTAGTGACACCTTAGGGAGGCAGGCATCTCAGAGACAAAACGTCCACTTTGCAACTTTTTCTTGACTTCTCCCTCTCCAGTACGCCTCACAGGAACCAAGTATGCCTGTGGGACTGGAGGCTGTGGGGCTTGCACTGTGATGGTGTCTAAGCACGACCCGGTGTCCAAGAAGACAAGGTAGCTACCCGAGGTCCAGTAACCAGAAGAGAAGTCTGCCTCGATCTGGCTTCTATTCTACCATATAACTAAAAAGCACCAGATCCTCCTGTCTCCCCTTCTTAGATTCCACAGATCTAATCCCCACAAATGCTTTGCACCCTCTGCTCTGATAATGTGTAAGCTAATCACCCTATGCCTATCACTTGTGGGGGACCAAGGCCCATCTGTGTACTCCTGCTTGGTTCTTAAGAACAAAGGCAAGCCAATAGTTCATTTTCTACTTGAGGAAGTTAAGGTAATGTGTTCAAGGCTATAGAACCAATAGCCTGTTGATCAACACCTTGAACCCATATTTTCTGGCCTAGAAGCTAATGCTCTCTTTGTTCTTGAACTGGACCAACCTTACAGAGCAAGAGCCTGAGCCATGACCTCACTCTTTAAGAGTCAGATTCTAGTGCTTGGGCTCCATCCACCCCATTGGTCCATACCAAGACTGCTCCAGAACACAGATCACCCCGCACTGTTATTTGACTTCGCCCAGAGAGCCTAAATTAACAAGGAAATGAATCCAGAATGTGTCAATATGGGCAAAAGGCAAATAACCTTCACTTGTGATGAGGCCATTACTCTAATGAAGACTAACAGAAGTCCAGCCACCCTTGTGGTGACACAGGGCCATTGTCACTGCTCCTAGATGGATCAATTTTAAGACTATAAAGGTTTTCTGAAGTTCAGGATGTCTGGGTTCACATGAAGGATCCCCAGTTCTCACAGGTGACATAGAGTGAGCAGAGAGGGCTCTGTCTTCCTCAGATCTCTCACCCCTGCAGACCCCCAAATCTGTCATCACCCCAACAGTCCCCCAGTCAGCCATAGACTCTGGAGGGTCTGCCCCGTCCTTCATAGTTCCCATTTCTCCAGGGGGCAGAACTGTCACTTCACTTGCTTTTCTTTGTTTCTCATACAAAGACACTTCTCTGTCATGGCGTGCCTGGTGCCCTTGTGCTCCCTGCATGGGGCTGCCGTCACCACCGTGGAAGGTGTAGGAAGCATCAAAACCAGGCTTCACCCGGTGCAGGTAAGCGCACAGCCTGGTCGTCTCACTTCTGAGCTTCATTTACCAAATGCCATGCAAACTGTGCTACCTCTGCCTTCCAGATCACGACCAGGCATGGGGAGCTTTGAACTCTTGATAATCAGAGTGATAACATCCACTCAGCAACTTCAGAGAAAGCTGAAAACCCACATGCATTTCATTAAATGACCATCTCTCGTTACTTTTTCTACTTAAATGGTATCAAGATTTTAAAAACAGTGTCTGATACCTATTGTACTATAGGCTAGAGTAGATATCGAACATATGCTACAGCATAAATGCCTCTGAGGGGCTGGGGATGTAGCTGTTGACAGAGTGCATGCCCAGCACACCTGATGTCCTTGGGACTACATAAACCTGGTGGCACATACTTATAATCTGAGGAGGAATACAGCAGTTCCAGGTCAACTTCCACTACACAGTGAGCTCAAGTCTAGCCTGGAATACATGAGAGGCCATATCAAAAAAAAAAAAAAAAAAAAAAAGCCACACTAGGGCTGGAGAGATGGCTCAGTGATTAAGAGCACTGGCTGCTCTTCCAGAGGTCCCAGGTTCAAACCTCAGCACCCACATGGCAGCTTATATCAGCCTCTAACACCAGTTCTAGGGAATCTGATGCCCTCTTCTGGCCTCCACAGGCACTACACACACATGTTGCATACAGATATACTTAGGCACATATGTGTGTGTGTGTGTGTGTGTGTGTGTGTGTGTGAATCATACTTGGGGGAAAAGTCTCCAATGCTAACAGGATAAAATTTGGGGACCATTCCCTGTAATGTAAAGGTCTTAGGAGTAAAATCAGAATTTGGATGAGAGCACTCTAAAAGAAACCTCTCTGGAGGGTGGAGCCAATTACCCCTTCAATACAGGCTGCTGCTGAAGCAACCAAGTCAGATTTGAGGGTAACATGGTATGTGTTGGCCTGGATTCCACGGTCGTTGTCACAGGAGTTTGGGGAGTCACAGATAGATCAACCCACACTCATTCTTTTTAGGCAGGAGCAGCCCAGTGTCTCTTAGTTTAACCATGTAAAAGTCGATCCCAAAGAGGACCACAAACTTGAAGGATCCAGAAAAGTCTCCTCGGGTCTGCTAGGAAGTCATATAAGATGCTTACAGAAAACTTACACACTGGAATCCCAGGCATTATATTCTAAATCTAGAGCCAAGCCACCCAAGCTTTGGGGTCCCAAGAGTCACTGGGAACTTGCTAAAAGTTTACCTTCTGAGTCATGAAGTTTGGAGCACAGTTCTGAATCCTGCACTCCCTTCCATTTCCCAGAAGAAATCAGTACTTCCAGACATGGACTACATTTTAAATAACAGAAACCAAAGTCCTCTGGCTCTGGAAGCTGTGCTCCCATTGAGCCAATGCAGAAAACATTAAAGAAGGTGACATGGAATCAGCAATGGTCTCCAAGTCCTCAAAACCACACAGCCTCCTGTGAGAGCTGAGCAGTGAAAAATGTAGGTGTTCAAGAAGACCAGCTTTGAAACATTCCCACAGCCTCCAAATAATTGCTTATTCCTGGAGAACTACCCTCACAGGGAGAGCAGGCTGCACACTGCTAATTCCCAAATAGGAGGATCAGAGTATTTGACCCTGAGAAGTGATTAAAATGATAAGATGTGGCTTCTGAATCGCTACCTTTGGGATGCCTAAGGAAGGGATATACAGAACAGAACAAAGGGATGGAGCACATTTTCTCAGAGAATGAGTCCTACCACTAGAAGGGCCCAGGCTGTGGACCTTGGAGAGAGTTGATGGCAGAAAGTGGACAGGGCTGTGACCACAAACGTATCCTTCCAGGAGAGAATCGCCAAGAGCCATGGTACCCAGTGTGGATTCTGCACCCCCGGGATGGTGATGTCCATGTACACACTGCTCAGGAACCACCCACAGCCCTCAGAGGAACAGCTCATGGAAGCCCTGGGAGGTAAGTCTGACACAGGAGGCAGGCAGAAGGAGAAGGTACTACGAGCTTCCCCACACCATCCCCAACATCATCCCAGCTCTGCCCAAGTCCCAAGCCAGAGTTATTTCTAAAATAGTCTGTGCAGACACAGCAAAAGATTTCAAGTTGTCTCTGCTCACAGCACAGGGGCCACCCGCCACCACCACCCCCCATCTCACCACCTACTTCCAGAGAGCCTGAATCAATTTCAGGAGACTACCCAAACAGACTGGCCAGCTTAAAACCCAGGAAATTCTTATGCAGTTCTGGAAGCATTAAGTCTGGGGCAAGCTACTGGCCTGGCTGAGCTGTAGGTAGCTCAGAGGAGAAGCCTTCCTTCTTCGTTCCCAGCCTCCCATGCATGACAGCTGGACCATGGCACTTCTGGGCTTATGGCTGCAAAGCTCTAATCTGTTTCTATCTCACATCTTTTCCCCTCATGTGTCTATGAAAACATGAGGATTCCAGACTTTACCATGCACCAGAATGGCCCACTGGCCTCTTCAATGCAGGTTCTTGGGTCTGTCTCCAGATGTTGAGGCTCCAGAGAGTCATATTCATGTCCCTAACAAATCTTTCAGGTGAGTCTGATGCAGTGACCTAAGAGGCACTGAGGGGCACACCTGACAGATCATCCATGACACTTTGTCTAGTGGCACCTTTGGAATTACCTAAATTTTCTCTTTTAAAACTCAACTGTCCTACATAATTTAAAATATAGTCATTGTCAAAAGCTAGACATCAGTGCTAGGGTCATAACTCAGAAGCAGAATGATATTCCAGCATGTCAAGGCCCTGAGCTCTATTCCTCAGCACTGAAAAGAAAAATCTACTGGATCTATTTCAATTTTTTAAAGAAACCAGTTGTAAGGAATATGTTTTTCCTCCAGCCACTGGTCTTGTCCCGCCGCTGTGCCAGCCCCAATTAACACACCGAGACTCTGTATTTGATATAATTCTGTTGGCCAGTTACTTGTTTTTTTATCGGCTAGCTCTGTCTTAAGTATTACCCCATTTCTGTTAATCTATGTATTTCCACATGGTCTTATCTTACCGGAGAGCCGGCTGATGTCCTGCTCTCCCCAGTCTCTCCATCTTGACTCCTCCTTCCTACTTCCTCTTTCCTCTTTCTCTCCTAGTCCCTCCTCTCTTGCTTTCCTATTGGCCAACAGTGCTTTATTCATTAACCAGTATGAGAAACATATTTACAGAATGACATCTCCCATCAGCCAGTAGAGTGGCTGGAGAACCAATTCAGTCCTTAATTGTCTTACAGCTCTTCCAGAGGAGCTGAGTTCTGTTCTCAGCACCTACATTGGGTGTTTTACAACCACCTATAACCCAGCCCCAGGAAATCCAACACCCTCTTGCCTCCAAGGACATCTACACACACACACACACACACACACACATGCACACACACACAAATAAATAATAATATAAAAATAATCCAGTAGGAACAAGAAGCTCACAGCCATGCTTCTCCTCCGAACAGGTAACCTCTGCCGCTGCACTGGGTATCGGCCAATTCTGGAGAGCGGTAGGACCTTCTGCGTGGTGAGCACACAGGGATAGGTGACTGGAGACACATCCTATAGAGTAAGAATGAGCAGGTGGTCAAAGCTGGGGACGCAAGAATGAGGTTTGTAAGACCATCACAACTGACTGTGAGGCAGACAAAGGAAGTCATGGAGGAGGGGCGCTCACTAGAGTTGCCAATACTTTCTGAAAACCGGATAAGCATTACACCCCCTTTGATGTGGTCTAGAACCATACAGGGAAGTCAGTTGGGCAAGGCGTCTCTCCAAGGCAGGCAAGATGATGCCTGCAAACACTTGGAGTAGATCAGTGGTGTGCTTCGGTGAAAAGGGCTCCTTCCAAACACCCAACCAACTGGGAATTCGTGAACAGGTAGAGAAGCAGAAATTGCAGAGTAGAAGCCAAAATCCACTCCAAGAACAAAAGGAGTGGCCTCCAAAAGTGGGGGTGCTTCTATGGTGAAAATCAAATGAGTTGAGAATGTTGTTGACAGTACGAATAGCATTTGACAGACACTCAGAATGGCATGTCTGAAGACCCTCTGCTGAGAACAAGATGGATGTGGGCAGGAGACTTTAAAGATGTATTTATTATGTATACAATGTTCTGCCTGCACATATGCCTGCAGGCCAGAAGAGGGCACCAGATCACATTATAGATGGTTGTGAGCCACCATGTGGTTGCTGGGAATTGAACTCAGGACCTCTGGAAGAGCAGCCAGTGCTCTTAACCTCTGAGCCATCTCTCCAGCCTGGGCAGAAGATGTTAGACACCTTGTATCTTGGAAGGGCCCCCGGTGGTCTTTATCCCACTCTTCTCAGGAGTCCATGGGAACAAGGTGATATGCCCATCCTTTCCTGGATCTTCCCCTACATAGGGCTTTAACTCCACCTTTAGGCCTTTCCTGAGATGATCAAGGGATGATCTTAGATGGCCAATGAGCAGCTCCTTGTGGAGAAGAGAAATCAGAAGTCATAAGATTTCTGTTTATATTCTTGACTCGGTTCCACACATAGTAGAGATAGACCTGGAAATGTACAATAGGTATGTTCCATGTCCCCAGAGTGAGGCAGCTATTCTGGGAATGTGTATCCCAGACTTTGATTGTCACATGAGGGAACCAGAGCAGACACACTAAAAAGTGAAATTAACAGACTGTGAAGCCAGCAAACCACGGCTGTAAGTGGGAAAGCACGCATGAAATACCGGGAAACAGGCTAAATCAACTCCTTTCCCTAAAGATGTAGGTGTCTGCCTCTCCTAGAACACAGGTCTGGAGATAAAGTCAGAAATGAGTTCCAATAGCTCAGCCTGTAGCCAGCCAGCCAGTATCATGATACTTCACTGGGTGAAGAGAATCCAGCCCCAGATGGCAGGGATGCCTGAGGTTCTTATTGTTCAGAGCCCAAAGAGGCCCCGCTTTCTTCAGCCACCATCGAGCCATCCATCCTAGGGACTCTGGGACTTTAGAGAGAGCAGGCAAGTGCTGCTTTGTTCCTTGAGCAGAGCTATCAAGTGGCAGGAAAGACCTTTGCAACCACCTGAGGGAGGAGATAAAAGGAGGGGTTTGCGAGAAATGAAAGCGGTAGAGCTGCAAGAGAAAACCGCTCCAAACACTGCTGTCAACTCATCCAAGTGATTTTCCCCTTTGCATTTTATTTTTCTCTTCCTAAAGGTTCCATGTGAATTATAATGAACAATGTTCCAGACATTATATGTGCCATAGTGGCTGTACTGTTGTTACCCTGGGGGGGAAAAATGCCATAAAAGTGTATTTTACCCCTGAAAATTACCCTAAAATAACTCAGATGTGAACATGATGTTCTAATTGCAATGAACAATGTTCATCTCCTGAGTGTGCTATAGAAATGTAAGATACAAATGCAATTCAATCCCAAATACAAAATAGCAGGAGAACTGGGCACTGGTTGCTTCCTTTAGACTTCTGTACATTGTGTTGTTTTATATAACAAGTTTATATATGGTATATGCTTCATGTTATTTTGTAAAAATAGACAAAGCAAAGAAAGAGCAGCCTTGTGTTAATGCTCTAAGTACAAAGTGGCTGCAGAGCCTGAAGTCTCGTATATATTGTTCAAACCTGCAAGGCATGTCCTTATTTGCCTGTCAACGGACTGTTCATATGAAGCACTTCATGTTTCTAGGAGCCAAATGGTTGTCAGCAGAAAGGATCAGGAGAATGCTGCTTGGATCAGAAGGAAGATGGTTCGCTTGGAGTCAAAAGCGACGTGAGTCCCTCTGTTTAGTTCTGTCTGTGTGTGCTTCTTAATGCTTTGTAACTGGGCATGTACTTTTGAGGGACTGCTCCCCGCTTTGTTTGCACAGTGCTCCCAATTCCCGGGTACTTCCAGGGACCAGGCTCTTTGCCCAGTGTTCATACAAAGACCACAGTCTGGTTTTCCCCTCATAGTCTGAAAGTCTGGAACAAAAGGAAAACAAAAACCTCTTAGATAGCAGAAAAAAAAATCTTCTGCATGAGGGACAGTCACCTATTGGGTTAGAACCTGAGTTCTAAAACTGCCCCTGCTCACACAGCCGTCCTCTGTCCCTGAGCTGAGAGTACTGCCACCTCGGGAAGCGAGACAATGGCAGGCAGAGAAGTCCAGCTCAGCACCCCAGCTCTGGCTTTGCCGTCTGAGTGACCCTTATTTTCAAAAGATCCACCACTGCGGGGGTCCTCACAGGGCCAAGCAGTGCCGTTAGTGAGACCCTAACTGCTCACCCCATACACTGTGGAAGAGCTCGGAGCAGGCCGGGGGAAACTGCCCCTCCCCCTCTCACTGTGCCTGTGACCTTCCCACCTACTTGCCCATGCCCACTTCTCACTGACACTTGTATTTTCGTCTAAAGGTGTGCAGTGGAATAGAGGGGTGCTACCCCAAGAAGGCGAGATGCACACCCCCATAATGACTCACAAAAGATCAACAGTTGGTAGAGTCAATACACCCCCAAAGTCCACTCCCAACCCAGAAGACTTGGGCATTCAATTTGAGCATCAGTTGAGCTTTGGGTGTTAACACCTGATTTACATTAAGTCAAGTGACTATAGATGTATTTAAAACAAGAATACAGCTCCGTATTTGCTCATAAGGAGGAGAAACACAATTGTGAAGTACAATGTTACCCTTTCCTTATGGTAACACACGCTAGGATGCGGAATTCTGTGGAGGAGGCTGCGTGCTGAGGGTGTCTCTGCCGCATGGCTCCACGCCTGCCTGTGACATGCCCTTCCCCTTATTCGCTGGCCATCTTCCATTTGGACAGCAGTTACGGCTTGGTCTAGAACCTGTTTAGAACTTTTTATTTCTCAGTGCTGACTCGTTGTTTAGCACTTTAGTTCCCAGGGGGAATCTTTTTTCTAGGTTTTAGAACTAAATCATTGCCCCCAAGGACTGCCCATGCTAATTCTCACACAAAAGCCAGCTGGTGGGATGTTGACCTGCAATATCCCATTCTGCAGCCCCACACATGCCTTCAAAAGGATCAGCTATGTGTTCTTTCTGGAACCTCACAGGCCTCAAAGAGAGAAGAGGAAAAAATAAATAAATAAAAGATGAGATGGAGAAAATGGCAAACGTCAGGGCATTTCACCTAATTATCACAATTACCCTTTAAAATAAGGACTATCTCCATTTACTTTCTAGAAAGGTTAAGAGCCTTTCCAGTGGAAAGGTCAGGGGTGGGGTGTGAGGAAACCAAGGGAACCAGATCTATCAACCCCCAATGTTTGTCACCCTCTTCTCTACTCACTGACAACCTGGACCCCACATCCCACAGTCCAGTTCCCTGATCTCCTCAAGTTTGTTTCCTGGCAACAAGTGTCCATCGACGCTAAAGCAGATGTAAGTGAGGCAGGATGACAGATGGGTAGATTTCTGCTCTGCTTTCCTTTCCTGGTGGGCAAAATGGAAATTATAACTTCCTTTACACAATTATTATGAAGACTAGATAACATTAATATGTGTGAACGCACTGAATAAACAGTAATGCAGTGTTTACGCAGAAAGATATAATTAGAATCATCTTCCTAAAACTATGGGACTTCCCCAGAGCTTTAGATGGTGAACTGTGATTGGCTGCGGAGGGGACAGTAAGCACAGTGGAGGTCCCCAAACCTCTTATGTCTTAGCATTTCCCAGGATGCTCTTTGTAAGAGTTAATGACACTCTTTCCTTTGGTATCATATCAGTAGCTAATTAGCCTCTCCTTGGCAGTCACATCCCTCTTTTAAGTTGCTGGGCTCCAGTGAGTTCCCTGCACCGGGAAAATCTCTCTCCAATTGAGCTGAACTGATGCAGCCATCTGCTTCTTCCTCCTTTAAAGATTTGCACAGAGCTGTTTTCAAAAGAAGAGTTCCAGCCCTTGGACCCAACCCAGGAGCTCATATTTCCCCCAGAACTCCTGGTAAGACACCATGGGTATTTTATGTGCTTGTTTAAACACACCTGTTATAGAGCTGGTGTTGGTGGCTCAAACCTTTAATCCCAGCACTTGGGAGGCAGAGGCAGGTAAATCTCTGTGAGTTCGGGGCCAGCCAGGTCTACACAATGAGTTCCAGAACAGGCTCCAAAGCTACACAGAGAAATCCTGTCTCAAAAGATCAAAACAAAACAAAAAAGCTTGTATCTGGTTATAAACTTAGTTTTGTAAATTTACCATATCCTTCGGGAGGCATGTCAAATTGGAGAAGTGTTGGCTAGGATCCAGAAACCTACTTACACCCAGCCCTGGCTGGCCTTCCCAGGCCTTAGGTGGGGCCTGTTAAGTATTACCTCACTGTTATGTTCATCACTGTGATCTGGAATGTGCCCCTGTTGGCTGCCAGGACTCAGCTTTGCTAAGCATCTGCCATGTTCTTCCAGGAACTCCACCACACCGACTGGAAATAGCATCTGCCTCATTCCTTCCTTTCCCCTGTTTTGGGGGAAGTTTCTTGCCTGCCAGAAACGGGTGCCTCACTCCACTCTTCCTAAAGGCGCATATTGACCCTCCTTCCGGGGCATCCACACCCCTTTCTATAAAATACTTTCTTTTAGTAAATATTTATTTCTAATTTTAATGATGTCTTTGCCTGTGTGTGTATGAGAGAGAGAGAGAGAGACTATGTACACCTGAGTGCCCATGTAGACAGAGGTGTAGGAACCCTAGAACTGATATTATAGGCGGTTATGAGCCATCCAACATGTATGCTTGGAGCCAAACTCAGGTCATCTGCAAGAGCAGTGCATGCTCCTAGCCCTCTCCAACCCCCTTTTTTGGGGGGAGCTCTGGTATGTTTACTCATTCACAAATACATATCCATTCAGCTACATACCAGCACTGTCCTAAATACTAACTATGCAACAAGAAACAAACAAACAAACAAACAAAAACACTGCCCTGGGGAAGCTTCTACTAAGAAAGAGGAATAATAGGCAAAATAATAAATGGAAGATATAATACGTAAGCTGAGTATAGTGGCACAAGTCTTTAATCCCAGCACTCTATGAGGCAGAGGAGAGTAGATCTCTGTGAGTTCAAGATCAACCTGGAATTCAGAGTGAGTTCTAGGATAACCAGGGCTACTATGTATGTATATAATATTAACAAATAAAAGGTGCTAAGGAGAATAATCACCGAGCAGAGAATGAAGCTAGGATGCAAACGGTCGTAATTTTCAGTGCCATGGCCATAGAAGATGTCCCGAGGAGGTAATGTCTGAGGAAACTCTAGAAGGAAGGCTGGAGCCAGTTGTGAGTAGATGTGGTGGGAGAGCTTACCCAGGCAGTGGGAGCAGTGAGTGTGAAGGTGCTAGCTGGCTAATCAAGGACAGTGCTGAGCCAGCCTGGGCAGAGCACTGTGAGGAGGTGTAAGGTGTACGGTTTTTCCGCCTGCCGCCGCCCGGTCTTGTCCTGCTGCTGCGCCAAAACCAAAAAAAAAAACAGAGACCGTATTAGATATAATTCTGTTGGCCCTGTTACTTGTTTCTTATCGGCAGCTCTGCCTTAATTATTAACCCATTCTGCTGATCTATGTATTTCTCTACCGGGGAGCCAGCGGCACGCTTTCTTCAGACCCTCCATCTTGACTCCTCCTCCCTACTTCCTATTCCTCCTTGTCTCCTAGTCCCTCCTATCTTCCTTTCCTATTGGCCAACAGTGCTTTATTATTAACCAGTATGAGAAACATATATACATAATGGCATCTCCCATCAAGGAGGGAAGATCAGAAGCCCTGAGGGCAAGCCATGCTGCACTTCACACTGCTTGGCCTCCTGTCCTGCAAGAGCCTCTATGAGGGAGGTTGCCTAGGGGACAGACAAGCGTCTACAGATTTCATATCAGGATCCTTCCTGTTGCTGAGCCAAGAAGCACCCAAAGCAGGGGGGGGGGGGAGCACGACACTGTACTGTGATGTGGAGGAAGACCAAGTCCAGCCTGACCCCAGAGCTGTGCACAGCTAGAGGAGGGTACCAGTTACAAAGGCAGAAAGACCTCCAGAGGGGTGGGTCATCTTTCCCTTGTGGGTTCTGTCTCAAGGGCTGAGGGATGGACTGGGCATGAGGAGCTCAATTTGGAGCAAATTAAATGTGAGGTCACCCTGACATGTCTAAGAGGGGACAGACATTAAGATCTCACTGAGAAATGACTTGAATATTAGAGGGAAAAAACAGACTGAGGATAGTAATCTAGGATTGTTAGTGAAACTGGTCTTAAAGCTGTGAAACTGAACTAATACTAAATTAGCCCATGCTAGGCAGTCAATGGCAGGTGCCAGCTTATAGTGTCACTTGTTCCCAAAAGGCCATCTATTTACAGGAACTCAGGCTTTAGCCGGGGGACACAGTCAATGTCCTCTGGGTAAGTGGACGGGAACCCTGAAATCTCCCTAAAGGGACCTGATATGGCCCAGGGTGACTGCTGTGCACACAGATACATATCCTGTCCTTTCTTTTCAGAGGATGGCTGAGAACCCAGAAAAGCAAACCCTGACCTTTTACGGAGAGAGAATTACCTGGATCTCCCCAGGAACCCTCCAAGATCTCTTGGTGCTGAAGGCGAAATACCCTGAAGCTCCTCTCATTTCAGGCAACACATCCCTGGGTGAGTGAGGACAGCCCTACTTACTCCGTTGTTGATGCCTGGCTGAGCTACCTGGACCCTGCTCCATCCCTGATCTAATTTTTAGAGATGAAAGTTTCATCCCATCTCATAAAACCAGTGATCTCCAAAGTTGATTGACACATACCATAGTAGTATTTAGGATGACTAGGGGTGGGTAAATGTATGAGAGGGCTTTCCATACATACCTATAGTCCAATGGAAGAATGTTGTTAGTGTTTTGTTTTGTTTTGTTTTGTTTTGTTTTTTTTTTTTTTTTTACTCTTTGGGGAGCCCACCACCTAGCTCACAAATAAATACAAAGACTTACTATTACTTATAAATGCCCAGCCTTAGCTTGGCTTGTTTCTAGCCAGCTCTTCTTAACTAATTATCCCATCTATCTTTGCCTTTTGACTTTTACCTTTCTCTATTTCTGTGTGTCTTTTTTAATAGATAAATTATACACACACACACACACACACACACACACACACACACACACACATATATATATATATATATATATATATATATATATATATCTTTTTTTCCTTTGTTTGTTTGTTACTCAAAACAGGGTTTCTCTGTATAATGGCTGTCCTGGAACTTGCTTTGTAGATCAGGCTGGCCTCAAACTCATAGCAATCCATCCACCTGCCTCTGCCCCAGAGACCTGAGTTTAAAGGCATGTACCACCACTGCCCAGTCTGCATATCTTTCTTTACTCCTTACTCTGTGGATTGCTGTGTAGCTGGGTGGCTGGATGGCTGGCCCTTGACATCTTCCTCCTTTCTCTCTCATTCCTTGGTCCTTTTTTCTCTTTTTCTCCTTCTATTAATTCTCTCTGCCTGCCAACTCTTCCTATCCTTTCTCCTGCCTTGCTATTGGCCATTCAGCTCTTTATTTGATCAATATGATGTTTTACACAGGCAAAGTTACATAGATTCACAGTTAAACAAATGCAACATAAAAGAATGCAACAACCCTTTGCATCATTAAACAAATATTCCACAGCATAAACAAATGTAATAACCTTAAAATAGTATTCCACAACAGTAGAAAGCTAGCCTAGCCTGTCCAAGCTCTGGGTTTGATCCCCAGCATTACCCAAAAACTTGTAATCACTGTTTCAACAGCTGGCCTCTGCGATGAGGGGGGGTTCCCCACTGCTCCTCCTTTCCCTTCCCTCTGATGGAGCAGGGCAGCTGAACTGTGGTGGTCCAATGATCAGTCTCCTCCTAGTTTTTACAATTACCACAGATGTTTGAATCCCTAAACAATGTGTCGGTTAGTTTTGTACATACTGCAGAGACTGTCACTATTCTCCTGAAACTTCTGTTTTTCAGTTTTTCTTGACTAGAGACTCAGCCCCCTTTTTTTTTTTTTTTTTTTTTTTTTTTTTTTTTTGCATGTACCTGAGTCCTGCTCCATTATGTAGCACAGAAAGGCTTTGCCCTCCAGTCTATCATGGGAAGGCAGCTGTTGAAATAGCTTCAGTTATTTCCAGGTTCCAAGGTTTTATAAACGCCTCCCCCACACCCCACCCACTCTGGGGATCAAACCCAGAGCCTCACACATCCTCAGCTGGTGTTTACCGCTGAGCCACACACTTTCTCTGTTTTGCTTTGGTTTGGTTTCTTGTTTGATGGTTTTGAGACAGGGTCTCACTATATCACCTTAACTAGCCTGGGATTCACTATGTAGACCAGGCTGGCCTGGAACACACAGATTTCAAACTCACCTGGCTCTTGTATAATGGGATGAAAGGAGTGTGCCACCACACCCAGACACATTCTTATAAGCATCTCCAGGTGCTTCAGTGAATGAAAGTTTTAAAAGCCTCCCACACCCTCTTTTCTTATTGGTACAATGTATCAAGAATATAAGTAAGTGAATACATGCATTGGGCAAAGGGGTACATGGTCATTGCTTTCACATCTATACACTCTTACTATCTAGGTTTAAGCTGTATTTCTGAATGCTTTATGAGAAATGTTCAATGTAAAAGAAAAGGTGTTTTCTCTTTCTCTAAAATTCATTTATTTTTCTTCAGGACCAGCCATGAAATCTCAAGGACACTTTTACCCAATTCTCCTCTCTCCTGCTGGAATTCCTGATCTGAGAATGGTGACTAAAAGCAGTGATGGTGAGTTCCTGGTCCTTCTAAGTAAGATATTAATGACCACTGCACTAGCCTGATACTTGCTGAATATGTCAGAACACCCCCATGTGTCTGTCTTATGACTTGTCACTCTTTTACTAATAGAAGCATGTCTCCACTGCAAACCTGATGATGAGCTTTCTAAATGTTACCATTAGAGACTGTGTGCTCACCTGCAGAAATCTTACAAGTGCCATGGTAACCCAGAGACAATGTGTTCATGAGCATCAAATGCAAGGGGCCAAATGGGACAAAAGCCTACAAGCAAGCATCCCTATTCACTCCCAACATCCTCAAACGCCTGCCAGTGCAGAGTAGAGGCAAACCATAAAGTAGAGAGAAATATGCAAGATTTGAGTTCAAGGTAGATGGCAACCCTTTAAGCAAATGGATCTTACAATTTTCCCTTCTTCCTTGCCCAGAGTTCTTAGTTTTGGGTATGCACACTTATTCAGTAGCTGACAAATTAATTCGGGGTGGAGTGAGGGGTGGGGGTGGATGAGTTGTTCAGGAATTTGAATGTAAGAGATTACAATGGTAGTGATGACACTCTTAACATGAGCAGCAGGGGCTCAGTCTGAACTAACAACTTAGTCAAGAATGACTTGTAGGTCACTGTGTATTTATGGCGGTCTTTGGTGGACAGGGAGGGATCTGAAGACAGCGAAGTCACTGCCACCCAGGAGTTCTACCTTCTGGCTTCTGCCATCAGCCAAAGGCAGGTTTCAGTGAAAACCAGTGCACCCGTTAATCCCCAGACATTGGCAAGCGAGGGGATTCCAGCTTCAGCCTGGAACAACCCAGGTAGCGTGCCTGATGTGGGCAGAGAGGAAATGGAAGAACCATAGACCAGGGTCCAGATAATCAGACTGAACCAATAATTACATGGGAGGCCCTCGATACTCCAGCTAAGCTCTGGTTAGCCTTTCTGCTCCTTCCTCTTCTCTGACACCAAGTATCGAGTCTCCAAGTCTTAAATAAAATATGAAAATAAGTTGCTGTTTTGAAGAGGGTCACTCTCCCCACACCTCCTGTCTCTGAGCCCTTTTTCTGAGTCCCCCAAAGAGACTTTCCAGAGCACAACTCAAAATCTTCATTGTAACCCAATCCTTCCTCTGGAGAGGTGCAAAAAGAAAATGCACTCGCCCAAGGTCATCAGGTTACAAGGTCACCCACTCACAATTCAGAAGCCCCCACTGCCATTACCACCCCCTTCCCCCAGGCCACCGGGCGGCCTGTCCAGTTGCTTTTTCACATAAACTGCCCAGCAGCGTGGCCGGTCCCTCAGCCAAAGGAAAGCCAGGCAGGCTCTGAAGTCTGCCTCTGACTTGCTTAAAGCTGAAGTGTGAGCGCCCTCTAGTGGCCACAAGGAAACTTCCTGTGGCCCAGAGAGTGAAGGAAGCCAGTAGGGAGAACAGAAACCAGATGTGCTCACTGTAGGAATCAAATCTCTGTAACAGACAGCTTCACAGTTTCTTTAAAACTGCACATTCGTCATCCCACCCACAATTGGCTCAGTCTAATTTTCTTTCAAAAATCTTTACTATGAACAATCCCAGTGGTACTGCGCATCTACCTGACGGGCCCAAGAGGCAAAGAGTTAAAATTTTAAAACTCTGAGAACCAGAAGTTGAGAGATTTTCCAACGCCATCAGAAAGCAAGTTAAGTTTTGTGACGAGAGGCAAAATTAAATAGAAATACAATGAAGTGGCATCGTATACAATAGAAAGGGCACAACAAAGGCCCAGATGGTCTTTCTGGCCTCCGTGTGAGTCTGAACTCTTGTGAGGACAGACAAATGGGGCTGACAGCTGGCTGGCATTCCATGCCCCACTGGAGGGCTGAACTGTCTCGTTTTCCATCTGAGTGAAAACCAGAAGCAGGGAGCAGGGTGTGGTGGCCTCTGGATTCATGCCTGTAATCCCAACACTTAGAAGGAGGAGGAAAGGGGATCAAAAATTCAAGGCTACAAGAGACTGTCTCAAAAACAAAAACAAACAAACAAAAAGCCAAAAGAGGCGGTGATGAGCCACTCTGGTCTTGTGTAAAGCCTCTGACCTAAATAATAGTAAAATGTTTGTGTCTGGTTTCTTTCCCAATGAGGGCCAGAGTCTTGTCGGGGACAATAATGAGTCATTGCACAGCAAACAACATTAGCTTTGTGGGGCTCCTGCAGAGGTATGGCAGGAATTTTGGGAAGACTTTGTTTTACTTTGATTTTATTTTGTTTTAGAGGTGCAGTCTCCTTGACAGCCCAGGCTGGTCTCAAAGTCATGATCACCTTGCCTCGGCCTCCCAAGTGTTGGGATTACAGACAGGCACCACCCTACCTGGCCACAGAAGGTAGAGTGGGTGCCAATACAACTTATGGGGATACGGAATCAACAGGCTGCTGGTGGCAGGTCTGAGGTGGAACCAGATTTCATAAGAGCATCTTTTATGAGACACTGAGACAGGACAAGGACTTCAGGCTGACATTCCGAAAAGGAAAGACAATTTAGTTACAAATTTCAGGTAACATTTGTTTGGCACGTGTATAATAAAATGCTGCTAGTCTTCTCCCTTCAGGAAGTTAGCTGAGGTTAGTGAAGGAGTGGGAGAATACTGTGCCAGAACATTTAATAGTGATAGGAGGATGGGATACCCTCAAAGTTGAGTTAACAAGAGAAAAATCAAAGCCCAACCCGAAACCTGCTAAAAAAAAAAAAAAAAAAAAAAAAAAAAAAACCACTCAGGGCAATTAGTGCCCAACAATCGAGGTCAACTCAAACCTATGAAAACCTGAGAGCAGTTGGTAAAGGATTTACTTTAAAAGATAGCTCTGGCTGGTTTGGGTGACCACATACTTTCCTGTATTGATTTGACCCCTTTCCTCCTGCTGAGGAGAAATCCTCCAGTTCTTGCTCACACCCTGCCAATCCTCACAAGTTCAATTCCAACTGTTGTCAAAGTGTTGGATGACTTTCTAGCCAGTTGGCAAGTAGCATTGTCCCAATCCTCCCTAGTGCTCACCCACGGCTCCCTTCACCCCTTCCTGTGAGCCCTGAACATCCCCACACCCAACACCACCAACCAATGGGAAGCCTGGGGCAGCTGCTTCCTTGGGATGTGTTCCCTTTGATTGGCCAGTGTCCCTCTTGAAGGTTATGATTATCAGAGTTGGAAAATCTGAAGCCAAAACATTACTGATTTCGATTCCAGTTTGGGTCATCTTGGATTCAATTCTTGAGCTGTTATAATTCTGAAATGTTTTCATACCAGAATATGCTAAAAGGTCACACAAAGTGGGGGTAATTTACATGAAGAGGGCTACACAACCTATTTCTTGACTTTATGGAGGCAAGTAAAAAGAAACTTGGTTTGTTCATTACTTAGGTTGATGGTTCATATACTTTTGGCTGAAAATCTTCAGGAGAAATTCCTCCAGGGGAGCCTAAGGGTGGTGGCATGAAGTTAGATTCAAATTGGCATTACTGTAGACCCTGTGAAAACCATGAAGCCAGGGAGAAGTCACCACTTCTACTCACCGCTGTCCTTTACCTCTCTCGAGTTTGCATAAAAACTCTTTCCTCCCAAAGTAGTTACTGATTTTAGATCATGACCTAGGGATTCAGATGACCTTTGCCATTGTGTCAATGCTAACAGACTTAACCCCCTTAATCACATAATAATCCTGGTCACTCAGGAGGTTCTAGGAGGATCTACCACTGGCATGTTGTTACTCCTTCTCTTCCATCTCTGTTTCTTCACACCTGTCCAAAGGTGAGTGTGGCCCCAGGGTCCCACCCCTGGCTACACAGGAGACCACCTTGGGGCCTTTTAAAAGCCCTATGCCCAGGCCTAGGGAAATTGGTTCTACTATCTGGATCTTGCAAGCATAAAGACCTAAGTTTGATCCCTGAAATCCACATAAAAAATCTAGGCAAGGTAGGACACACAGTAGTCACAATATTAGGAAGGTGAAGACAGGCCCAGTTGATCTGGTGGCTCCTGGTGACCTACTTGAGCGGCCACGTTAGGAAGCACCACTAACCAAATGCCAAGTGAGACCTACCGCGGTGATGCCAGCTCTGCTCCTCCTACATGACGAATGCAAACAACATGCTTTCTAGGACTGACCATTGGCGCCTGCTGCAGCCTGGCTCAGGTGAAGGACATCTTGGCTGAGAGCATTTCTGAGCTCCCGGAGGAGAAGATTCAGACCTACCGAGCTCTCCTGAAACACCTCCGGAGCCTGGCGGGACAGCAGATCCGGAACATGGCGGTGGGTTCCCTGCTGTCAGTCACTGGACACATGCTTGTCTCTCCTTCTCACTGACATTTCAGGATAAACACTGGCAAAAGTAGCACTCTGAAAAGTCTCCATGGATTAAAATGACAGGCCAATTAACAAATATTTTAAACTTAACAAATGATATTAAGTAAAATGTTCCATGAAATTCTAGATGAAACTCAACATAGTAACTAAACCACAACACATGTCATGCAGAACACCATGGCTTTGCTGATTGTTTGGCCAGCCTGTCAAAAAGCCTGACCCACTCTTAAGATTCACAAACAGAAGTGCTATACTTAAAGCAAGTTGGGAGACCTTTTATTTTGTCCTATTCAAACCACAGCTGGAGAGTCACCACCATTGCCATAAGGAGGAAAATAAGTCACGGTCGGTTTCCCAAGCACGCGTACATGTCTGGCATCTGCTGAGAGCCCGGGGACTCAGCAGAGGACCTCGACTCTGTGAAAACTGTGATTCCAAATCTGTCAAGAGCAGTGTGGCAGATGCGTGTAGGAGTTGGAAGCACATCTCAAGGAGGGGTGGGGTCAGACAAAGAGAGCAGAAGAGCTGCCTTCCAACATTCATGGACCCCTGGGGACAGATGACAGCCAAGACTCCCCCCGACCCTTCCAAAAACCCTGGGAGGATCATAGGCACATGTCTATAAGGAGGGGAGAAGACCTGAGACACTAACCAAGCTGTCACTCTGTCTCCTCAGTCCTTAGGTGGGCATGTTCTCAGCCGGCATCATTACTCTGACCTGAACCCTATTCTCTCTGTGGGCAACTCCATCCTCAACCTGCTGTCAGAAGGTAAGCTACACTCCAAGCAGCTCGTAGAGAGCCTCTGTCTCTTGTCATTACACTTCTAGTTATCTTAAGGAATTGCACTGAGTAACAGCCTGGATCACTCAGTGCACCATGGGGAGTTCCTGTCATGAGGAAGATACATTGTAACAATAGGCTGAGGTGTGTCCTGCTGGCTACACACACACACACACACACACACACACACACACACACACACACACACACACACACACACACACACCACACACAGAGGACTTGAAGGTCATGTGTCAATTAGTTCACATGTTCTTGCTTGACCAGGGATGATGAGCAAAAGCTGACATGAGAGTAAGGTTTGAGAGTCCTGGAGAGATGGCTTGGAGGTTAAGAGGACCCTCTGCTCTCGTAGAGGACAGCGGTTCAGTTCCTAGCACCCACATTGGGTGGCTCACACTGCCTACGGCTCTGGTTCCCGGGGGACTCTAACTTCTGTGGGCACCTGCACTCATGGCACATATCCACAGAAATAGACAATTATATATGGCTGGAGAAATGGCTCAGCAATTAAGAGCATGTCCTGCTGTTGCAAAGGGCCTGAGTTTGTTTCCCAGCACCCATGTCGGCAATTCACAACTGTCTGTAACCCCAGTTCCAGGGAACCTGATCTCAATAGTCACCTACACTCACGTGTGCATAACCACATATAACACCTGTGCATAACTAATCATGATAAAAATAAATCTTTTTTTTTTTTTAAAGAGATTGAGGACTAGGCATGGTAATCCATGCCTTTAATCCCAGCACTCAGGAGGCAGGGACAGGAGGATCTCTGTGAATTCAAGGCCAGCCTGGTCTACATAGTGAGTTCCAGGACAGCCAAGACCAAATAGAGAGACCTTGTCTTGGGGATGGACACAGAAAAGAGGGGGGAATCTGGCCTGTTCTAGATGGTGCGTTCCTATAGCCTAAGGGAGCAAGGTTCCTGCCTTCCTTCTTCAATCTACACCCAATCTGAGAGCACGCACACGCACACGCACATGATACCCTTTACGGTACTCTTCTTCGAGCACACACAGAAAGCCAAACATCCCTATGGGCAGGAGAAAGCAGTGACTTGTTTTAATTGCTGGTTGAATGAGCATTTCTTATGGCAGCTCCCTGCTAACCGCCTCCCCTGCTCCCCCAGGCCTCTCTGTACTCACAGCACTTTGGTCTCTTCCACAAGCCCTAAGGGCAAGAGGCTAACGTGTGCCAGGCTCTGCTGGGAACTTTACACCTCTTCCCCAGGCTGCTCAGCCTGGAGCACATTCCACTTGCCCAGAAAATGACCAGACTCCAGCTTAGCTGCTTCGCAACTCTAGCCCTGAAAGTGGGTCACGTATCAACATTGTTTTTCTCATGGCTTTAGAGGCTGGAAACTCCAAGGTCGCATGATAGAGAGTAGAGACAGCCTTCTTATTCCATCATCTCATGTCAGTAGATGGATATGCAAGAAAGGACAAAAGGGAGCCAGAGTCATCCTTTGTAACAGAACCGGCCCCAGCTCTGAGGGCGGAGCCATATCACCGGTCTCATGAGGGAGGAGCCGTATCACCCGTCTCATGCCAGGGTTCCATCTCAGGTCAGAGCCCTGTGCGTGCTAGACAAGTGTCCTACTGCTGCTGCACGCCCAGCTAGCTCTGAGTATTGTTACAATGGCTACCAAATTCCATGAACTAAATAAGGCTTTTAAGAAATATGTTGTATCTTTATGGTGTTAGGCAAGCCCAGTGCACAAGTGGACACTTACCGGAGTCAGGTCTTTCCTTCCAACAAAGGGGTCCTAGGGATTGAACTCCAGTCATCAAGCTTGGCTGCAAGAACCTTTACCCACTAAGTCACCCTCCTGGCCCTGAGTTTTGAAGGAGACTAACACTCAAACCTTAGCAGATGGGAAGCTCTGTCACTCTGGCATCCATTCACGATCTCTCCTGATCACCCTGTCCTGTGTCCAGGGCTTCCAGCTCTAAAATGCCCCTCCCCTTCCCTCACAGACTGCCTGGCAACCTGTCTGTCTTAGCTAGGGTTTACTATTGCTGTGAAGAAACACCATGAGCAAGGCAACTCTTATAAAGAAAACATTTAATTGGGGGTGGCTTACAGTTTCAGAGGTTCAGTCCGTTGTGATCATGACAGGGACCCTGCTGAAGCTGAGGGTGCTACATCTTGCACGCAACCGGAAGTCTACTGACTGTCACACTGAGGGAAGCTTAAGAAAAAGAGACCTCAAAGCCTGCCTCCACAGTGACACACCTCCTCCCACAAGGCCACACCACTTAGTGCCTCGCCCTGTCAAACCACATCACCGTCCAATACCTCCATCTACTGTCCCTCAGCAGATCTTGAGCTCACCGCTCCCTCCCAGGTACAGAGATACAGAAGGAGCCACAACCTCTGCCCCGTGGACTTCTGAGCTCCCTGAAGTGTTTGATGCTGTCACCCACTGCTCAGAGTTCAGAGGTAGTGGGGAGAGATTTAGGGGCTGAGAAAAAGCGTTCAGGCCCTACTCCATGATTGGCTTCATTTGAAGCCTTTCAGTAGGGAGGGCACAGACGGTTAAGCATGCTGACTGAACCAGGCTTTTGTCTGAGAGGACCAGGCCTGTAGTTTGGGTTGATCCCAGTTGAACACACAAAACAGTCAAGAAGCCAAGACTCTGGGGATACCAGGATGATGAGGTCTCTATCCAGTGCCTTCTGCTACCATAATGGTAGCAACGTTCTACTGGATGTTTGTAATCACCTTTGACTTATGGTTTCTGCTTTCCCAACTCTGCCAAAGCTATGGCAGACCTCCATCACTCCAGAGAAGGCAGGATCTCAGCACACTGACTTAGCAGCATGACAGGTGAACAGTGATCAACAGGGACTTCTTTGGGGTTTGCTATCCAAGAGTAACCCTACCAGCATTCCAACCAACACAGTGCCAATTGCTCAGGGAATAGAACTCATGTCACCCCTGGGCTATAGTTTGATCTCTTTGGAACACATCCTATACTTTAAAAAGTACAAAGCATATTTTAAAGCCAGAGGACAGTGCTCTGGTCCCAAGAGGTGAATAGCTGAGCCCAAGTCAGATTTGACAAGCTGTTTACTTAAGGTGTGTCTGTGTCAGGAACACAAAACTTTAGCAATCGTGAAAAGCAGATCATAACTCTGCTAGCAACGAAAATAAGTCCAGTGTTAGCTTAAGTGACTCTGCAGCCTTGACCTTTGTTTGTGGTTCATTCTGTCAGCCAGCCTCTGCTGAAGGATGAAAACCCACGGGGTGGTGGGCATGGCATGAGCATGGCAGGACATGGCATGACAGGATAGCCAATGCCATGCGCAGTGAAGGGAAAGGGCGCTGTAACAGTGCCAGAGCCTCGGCCTCTGCATCAGTCACTCCGAGCAGAGGATGTACATCTTCTGTGGCATCCAACCTCTGAGAGTGCAGATCTGGCTTGCTTTTCTTGCAGCTATACAGAAATGCCATTTCTTTCCACAGAAGGCACACGGCAGATTGCTCTGGATGGACATTTTCTTGCTGGGCTGGCGAGCACAGACCTGAAGCCTGGGGAGATTTTGGGATCTGTGTACATCCCTCACTCTCAAAAGGTAAGAAGCTAGCTAGTGGCTTTGAAGTTGTTTCTCCCTGTCATAATGGAGTCCAGTCATCCCTAACGTCTGAAGGCAGGTCGAAGGAAAGTAACCGTGTCTCTGTAACTGTTTCCTGACCTACTGCAAACTGGTTCAGCAACAAGGCTCTGGGACTGTCCTGAACGAGCGACTCCAGGGTGTGGATTTTGGTTGTTGTTGCAGCTGTGGGGTGTGGCCTGCGGAAGGCCTGTGGTCATACTCCCCCAAGGGTGAAGGCTCTCTGGCTGTAGAAGGAGCTTCTCTACCTGACACACAGGAAGTGGGAGTCCTAACTTAGCTTTCCCACCTCCAAATTCCTGCCAAACCCTACAGCTCATAGGAACACATGGCCTCCAGATGTTCCCTGGCCCAGGATACTGGGGTTGATGGGCCAGCTGTGGAGTGGCCTCCTGCCCTCACTCTCTGTTCCTTAGGCCTCTCTCCAAAGCTGTATTTGACTCCAAGAGAAGCACCAATACCACACACACACACACACACACAAAGCAGAGGCAGGTTATAATGAAGTCTTTTTTGTTGTTTGTTTGTTTTTCAAGATAGGGTTTCTTTGTGCAGTAGCTCTGAATGTCCTGCAACTCAATCTGTAGACTTGCCTAGACTTGAACACAGAGAGATTCACTTGCCTCTGCCTCCCAAGTGCTGGGATTAAAGGAGGGCACCACCACCTCCTAACTGTAATTAGGTCTTAAGTTACATCTCAGCAATGGATGATCTTTGGTAGTCCTTTTGAAACAGAAATTCTGACATGCTTTCCCATCCAAAAATACATCTGTGTCTATGCAAAGGCAGAAGATAGAAAATAATGGTATATCATTAGGCTGGAGACACAGCTCAGCAGCTAAGAGTAGTTCCTCTTGGAGTGGACCCAGGTTCAATTCCTAGCACCCACATGAAAGCTCACAACCATCTGTAACTCCAGATCCAGGGGGTCTGATACCCTCTTCTAGTCTTCATGGGAACCTGGCACACACATGATGCACAGACATCCGTGTGGCTGGCCACCCATGCACATAAAAATAAATAAACAAAGAATAAATAAAACAAAGTATTCTGTCAAAAAGGAAAGTGGAGCATCAAATACGAGAAGCTTTGAGACGACACAAAGGGAAGACAGGAAGTGAAGAGGAGCTCTGAGGCAGACACCACCTCTGAGGCCCCGCCCAGCAGCCAAGAAATGGAGGGGGGGGGGGTTTGAACTGAACAGCTCCTGACTTCAGAAGGCTCCTCCATCCTCACAGAGACAAAAGAATCCAAAGATTGAAGCTGAGCAGAGGTGGCACAGGTCTTTAATCCCAGCACTCAGGAGGCAGAGGCAGGAGATTGATTTCTATGAGTTCCAGGACAGCCAGAGCTGTAACACAGAGAAACCCTGTCTCAAAAAGAAAAGAAAAAGAAAGAACAGGATCCAAAGACTGGAGAGGATGGCTCCAAGAAACTCAGCACCAACAGGGCTTCTCAGTGGTTTCCGTGGCATCCTCCACAGAGCTCTGCTGACCTCCAGCAGACCATGATCCCTGGAGCTATCAATGGCCTCCAGGATGAGCCTTTAGAAGGACACCATTATCACCCTTGGGGATAAAAAGATGGCTCAGCAGTTGCTATTTGGTCCTGTAGAGGACCAAATACACACATGTTGGCCCACAACCATCTTTAACTCCAGGCCCAAGGGGTCCAACACCCTCTTCTGGCTTCCAAAGCACAGGCATTTATGCAAACACTCATACATGTAAACAAAACAATTTTTAATACTTTTGATTTATTTATTTAATGTGTGTTTCCTGCATTTATATACATTTACCATGTGTGTGAAAACAATTTTAATACTTTTGATTTATTTATTTAATATGTGTGTTTCCTGAATTTATATACATTTACTATGTGTGTGCTTGGTGCCCAAAGAAGTTAGAAGAGGTGTCAGATACCCTGGAACTGGCATTACAGATGGCTGGGAGCAGTCATGTGGGTTCTGGGAACCAAACCCAGATCCTCTGTGAGAGCAACAAGTGCTCTTAATTGTTGAGCCTTCTCTCTAGCCCCGACAACGGTTTTTCCAAGACAGGGTTTCTCTGTGTAACCCTGGCTGTCCTGGAACTAGCTCTGTAGGCCAGGCTGGCCTCGAACTCATAGAGATCCATCTGCCTCTGCCTCCTGAGTGCTGGATCAAAGATGTGTACCACCATACCCAGCTCCAACATTTTTAAGGGTACCTGGAGAAAATGTTCAGTGATTAAGAACACTTACTGCACTTGCAGAGGACCTGGGTTCTGTTCCCAGCACCTACAATGTATGCCCTTTCCTGACCTTCAAGGGCTCCTAGATACAGGTGGAGCAAAACTCACACAGGCTCATATACAAACGTAAATAAATAAATAAATTGATTTTTTTTTTTTAAGGACACCATCCTCACTCTGCAAAAAGGCAGCCAAAGTGTCTCTCATTTAGGCAACTGTCCTCTGTGTCCCATTACATGATTCTAAGTGATTAATTAGTTAGAGGCACCAAGAGGGAACCCAAGCTTTTCATTCTGACACGTCACATAACCCGGAATGGTTCCTGTCTCCACAGTGGGAGTTTGTGTCGGCCTTCCGGCAGGCCCAGTGCCATCAGAACGCTCTGCCTGATGTGAATGCTAGCATGAGAGTCCTGTTCAGGGAGGGCACAGACATCATTGAAGACCTGAGCATCGCCTACGGAGGGGTGGGGCCCACCACCATCAGTGCACACCGATCCTGCCAGCAGCTCGTCGGCAGGTAAGTCATGAGCACTATGCCTTAAAGGGAAGGAACCTTGATAATGGGAAAAACAAACAGGGCCTGACAACTGCTGATAAAGAGGGAATAATGAAAACCCAGACTTGTAAAAAACAACAACAACAAAAATAACTGCTTGTTCCTTCTTTAATTTTGCTAAATTAATTCCACATTATTTGGGCTTCCATTAAGTCACTTTTGGGGTGATGGACACAACAAAAATGGCCCAGGTCTGAGTCCATCCTGCAGGTGATGTTTTCTCATCTGGCCTCCTTTGCCCCTGCTTATGAACACTCTGTGGCTCTCTTCAAGCAGAGCCCAGTACTCCCAATACAGCGGGCACACTATTTCTCCCTGGGTAAAGGCAGCATCCAAGTCTGGATTCTGTTCTGGAATATTCTGGAATGGTTCTAGAATGTTCTGCCTCTGACACATGCTTGATTTATGTTGCAATGGGAGAGGTCCCTTGGAGCAGATTCCCAGGCTTTGATTTTTCCAGAGACCCTTCTTAACACAACTTCTAAGAGAGACCTGGGGACTCTAAAATGTCAGTTTCCGCATGATCAGACTTCCCATTAACTGGTCCTTCTCACCTCCCACTGTACCAGGCACTGGAATGCACTCATGTTGGACGAGGCTTGCAGGCGGCTTCTGGATGAAGTCTCCCTCCCAGGCTCAGCTCCGGGGGGCAAAGTGGAGTTCAAGAGGACTCTGATGGTCAGCTTCCTCTTCAGGTTCTACCTGGAGGTTCTGCAGGAGCTGAAGAGAAAAGTAAAGCTGTCCTCTGAGTCCACCGTAAGTACGCTGGAAGATAGTGACAAATGTGTTCACACATACTCGTGGTCTCACAGTACTGAGGCTAAAGGCCTTACCCAAGGTGCCATCGGGTAGCAGGAGACTGAGTGCACAACGAGTTCAAGGCCTGTCTGAGCTACAGAGCGAGACCCATCTCAAAAATAAATAATAAACTGAAACCCAGAGGCGTCATCAGAATAGGTCCCTCCTGAGAATTGTGAGGCTCCATCCTACACCTTCCCCATGGCTTCTGATGGGTTGGCCTGGCTTCTGGTGGCTTGCTGGTGAGCTTTAAGTTCCTTTACCTTGTAGAATCCCCCTGCTGTTGCCTTTAATTAACGCTGCCCCTGTATGCATGTTTACATCCAAAGGTGTCCTTCTGAGAGGATGTCAGCCACAATGTCAGCCAATTCTAATTCATTGCCACCACAGTAAACATCCCGTGTTGTTTGGATAGGTCGGTCACACTCTGAATTTCTGGAGGTTTGTACTTCAACAGAGAAGTTTGGAAAGATGAAATTGAAACTATAACTCTGCCTCTGGCAGATCCTTGTTTCCAGGAGTTCCTAGCTTTGCTGCTCCTTGAGCCATTTGTCTTGCAGGGAGCCTGTCACTATCTTAGAAGTCTTTGATCTGGGTCAGCCTTTGTCAGCCCAGGGTCCGTCCTGGGAGTTAGCCTCAGGTGTCCATCATGCCCCAGCACAGAAACACTACAAAGTCCCTGTCTCTGTCTCCACTCTGTAACCTTTTTCTCTTCTGAAATAAACTTTATTGAAGCACAATTTACAGTCAAACATGAGACAAATATAAACATATAGTTAGCCCACCTGTTTTAACTTACACATTTTCATCACCCCAGAGAGTCCCCTGTCCCCTTCATGCCATCACTCCCACCCCTGCCCAGGCAAACACTAATCTGCTTTGTGGGACTAAAGCTCCACTTTGCTTAGTCTAGCATTTTGTAATCATTATGAAATGTGATGTCAAGTTGTTATGTGTCAAAAAGTCAACAACTGACATGTACACTACTATCTAAGCAGCTTTCTAGGGTTTCTGATTACAAACTTCTGGAATAAGTTGAGCAAAATATTTACTCTCACACCTGTCCTCCCTGCCTTGTCCTCTCTCTCAACCCTTCCCTGGCCATGACCTCAGCCACCCTGTCCATGGCCACTGTCCCGTGGCCTCTGAATGTTGGGCAAAGACCTGAACTTAATTCCTCAGTCAGGACACCATTCCAGCCTTAGAAAAAAATATCCTGGAAAAAGCATTTAGAATTTTTCTTTTTCATTTTGTGATCCATGGTCTCTAGCTTATTCTGGGATGGCTTATTCAGCTGAGCATTGCCTTCCCCCCCCCCTCACACACACACACACACACCATCTCCTAGCTCACTGGCAGACCTTTCCCTCCAGGGACATGAAGATCAGATCTAACCAGTCATTCAATCTAAACCCTTACTTGGATAGGGGTGAAGGGTCACCAGGGTCACAAAAAGTATAACCCTGGGGGGAAGGGTTAACTGGGTCACCCCTCAGTACAGTAGGAGCCATTCTACATAACCCAAACCCAACTTAATCCAGACTAACAGTGTCTCTCATTGTACTGAGGCATTCCAGGACAGCCAGCACTATCCAGTGATTGCAGACCGGTTTCTGAGCGCTCTGGAAGATTTCCAGGTCACACTACCCCAGGGAGTCCAAACATACCAGGTCAGTGAGTTTGATTTCACTGAAACCTACACTGAGAGATAAACTAGAGCTGTGTGGACCAAGCAGGCCATTCACACAGGTGATTTTCAGTTCTTTCCAGGTGTTCCTAATCAGGAGGCTCTGAACCCCAAGAGCATGCCATGGGGGTTGGGGACTGAGGGTGTGTGCTAAGAGAGAGGCTGAGAACTAAGAGACCAAGAACCACGACGGTTGAGGATATAGGTTATATAGGAATCAGAGAAGCTGGGGGAGGGGAGGGAAGCTCGGGAGCTAGAGGAGTTGCTGGGGGGGGGGGGTGCCAGCCAGGATAACTCTGAGACAGGTGCTTGTGAGCAGGGACTGAGGAGACTTGTGGCCAGAGTCTGCTCTGAGTCATTAAATAGGTACCTCAGTTAGCCATTTGTCCTGAGTTGGAGAACACACACACACCAGTGCAGCCTCAGAAAAAAGTTCCGGAATAAACTCTTTCGACATCAGTCTGGATATGGGAGATTCCATTCCCATTTCCACCCCGTGCCAGAGGCCCTGATGAGTCAATACTCGGAGTTCTCACTCAGATTTTGGTCTGTCTCTGTGGGGCACGCTGGTTCATTCTAAGCCTTGTCAGAATGATGAGCATGAGCAGTTTGGCCATTGGAAGGGTGAGCAAGCAGGACAGAGGGACCTAAATTGTCAAACAAAAGGGCTCAGGGGCCCCACAAATGCAAGAGGTGAAGAGTCCCTTCACCTCCCTCACCATTCTGTCAAAATGCTGGTCTGTCAGAGGCATTGCCACCAAACTGAAATGGCAATTCTGCACTCTAGTTACATCACGAAATGATCATGCTCATCATCTGACCAGCTCCAATGTTTGTTGCCCAAGAGGACTGTCCTGTGACTCCCCACTGAGTCACCCAGGCCGCTGGAGATGAAAGGTTTCTGGGCTAACTCTGCCTTTCTCTATAGAGAGTGGATCCTCATCAGCCTCTCCAAGACCCAGTTGGACGTCCCATCATGCATCTGTCAGGTCTTAAACATGCCACAGGGGAAGCCATATTTTGTGATGACATACCCAGGGTGGATAAAGAACTTTTCATGGCTTTGGTGACCAGTACCAGGGCTCATGCAAGAATCATGTAAGTAAAGCAAAGCTTTAAAAAAAAAAAAAAACTTTAAAAGGTATACCTAGGGGTTGCTTCAAAGGACTGTGCTCTCTTCTGCAGTGTCCTGACCCAAAAAGCTCCATAAGGAAGACCGCATATCTAGAAATGACCATCCTGGGAGGGAGGGGCATAGAGGCTGCGGATATTGCTCAGCTGGTAGAATGCTGGAACACTCTTCCATGCACAAAGCCTAGGGTTCAATCCCGGTACTGTATAAAGCCAGCATACCTGTAAACCACTGTAATCCCAGCAGGTAGAGGCAAGAGGATCAGAAGTTCAATAGCATCCTCACTAACATAGCTAGATCCAAGCCCAGGTGGACTACATGAGATTCTGTCTCAAAAAATAAAAAGTTGTGGTATTTTTGTTTGCTTTCCAAGGTCATAAAACCTTACCCCCTGCAGCCCTGTGCATAACTCAGAGCCACTCTGCTACACTGAAACACCAGCTTCATTATTGCTTAGGAAACAAATACTATCACACACTTCCGAAGGAGACGTGTCTCAGTGCCACACTTTGACAGCCGGAGTTACCTCCTGGACTCTACTCTGTGGCAGGTCCACTCTGGTTGCTCAGAGTGGTCCCTTGTTACATGTTTTTTATTTTCAACTATATTCCATTTTCCCCTTGGGTTTGAGATCCTCCAAATTTGCTGATGTCTCCTTCTTAAATGTCTCCCTATACTCAGATCAATCGATTCATCTGAGGTCTTTGCCCTACCTGGTGTGGTTGATGTAATAACAGCTGAAGACATTCCAGGCGCCAACGGCGATGACAATGACAAATTATTGGCTGTAGATGAGGTATGAATGGGACATGCTTTCCCAGATGCCTGTGAAAACAGTCACCCAAGGGCCCCTGTCAGTCACCTGTCCTTGACTCCAGTTTTGTTTTTGTTTTTGGATTTTTTTTTTTTTCTACCACGGAGATGCAGAAGTGTGAAAGCCCTTGCTGCTCTCTATTAACCTTGGCTTTCTGAAGTTAGGAAATAACGTATTAAACAAAAACTAATCCTAGATCTGATTCAACCACTATATGCCTTTGAGTTCACTTTTCTGAGCTTATCTGAAGAGTAAACGTAAGGAACTGATCTATAACAGCATAGCGTGCTCTAGAAACATCTAGAAAGGAGGTGGGGGCACAGCCATGCCCTCTTATTTACATGGAACTCTTACCAGGTCTCACTTTCCTTCACTAGCTCTATTTTTATTAAGTTGTCTCCGCTGTCGCTGGCCTTGTCATTCAAATTCAACAATCATTTACTGACCACCCTGACTTAGGACCAGAGCACCTCAGCTTCTGTTCCAGCGTTTCTGCCTACTGCATGCCCTTGGGATCTGCCATCTTTAATGGAGGAATGATCATAACACACTTCATTGTATCACAAGAGTTAAACAAGCAAATACTCACTGAGTGCTGGCTATTGCACATTTCAGTGATCTCACACTCTCTCTCCTCCAGCCGTGAAGGAGATTGGTGGGGTCTTGTGTTTTGTTTGTTGGGTTTTTGTGGGGGTTTTGGTGTTTTGTTTTGTTTTTTAATCCATCAGAAGAGGTTGACTTTCATTTGTCAGTCTATTGGAGCTGCCAACATAAGGCCACCTAAACATGGGGCTGAAGAGATGGCTCAGTGGTTAAAGCACTGGCTGCTCTTCCAGAAGAACTGAGATCAGTTCCCAGCACCTACACAGAAGCTTACAACCATCTGTAACTCCTGTTCCCCAGGATCCAATGCCCTCTTCTGGCCTCTGTGGGCACTACATACACGTGCTGCACAGACACATGAAGGCAAAACACACACACACACACACACACACATAAAATAAAATAAAAAAATAAATCTCACACAAAAAAATAAAAGTACATGACGGAAATGGATTTTCACAGTCCTGGGGCTGAGCCCGGGCCAGGGTGTCAGCAGGCCTGGCTTCCTCTGCGGAATCTCTCCTTGCTTGCTGATGGCTGCCTTCAAATTGTCTTCCCTTTGCACTTTCTCTCTTCACTCTTCCTTTTCTTATAGGCTCAACAGCCATATTGCACAGAGCCCCAGCCTCATGGCCTCACTCAACATTAGTAACCTGTGTGGAGGCCCTGCCGACAAATGCAATCTCATAGGCGCCTTCACACCATAGGGGGTTGGGTAGTTCATTCATGGACAACAGGGGCCACACACTTACACGTTAAGCTCTTAAAAGGCAGGATGGAGGGCGCATGTAAACTCAGCGTGACAGCTGACTCAGCTGGTTCATGTTACAGCTGATCTCTGGCACTAACACTCTCTTGAGAACAAGTGGCCAGAGAGTGAAACTGTGTAATAAGTACCTTTTGGTGTGTGGAGCTGGAGGTCTAACCAGGGGTCTCATACATGCTAGGCAAGTGCTGTACCACTGGGTACAACCCAAGACCTTCCTTTTTATTATTATTTTTAAATGTGACTTCAGTATGGCTATTCCTGTTCAACAGGGACATCTAAGACGCCAACCACAGGTGTAGTTGAGCTTGGCTTCTTTCTGTTTGCTTTAAAATTATTTAAATGTATTTATTGTTATTATGGAGTAGAGTGTGGGAGGTGTGGAGGCCAGAGGACAACTTTATGGAGTTGTTTCTCTCTCCACCTGCTTTTACATGGGTTCCAGGGATGGAACCCGGGTCCCCAGGCTTGTATAGCAAGCGCCATTACACACTGAGCCATGCCCCTGGTCCTCCATCTGCTTATGTATGTGCTCTACAGGTGCGCTGTGTGGGCCAGGTCATCTGTGCTGTGGTTGCAGAGAATGATGTTCAGGCAAGACGAGCAACTGAAAAGATAAAAATCACCTATGAGGATCTGAAACCTGTGATTTTCACCATCGAGGTAAGTAGGGCCAGTCTGTACTGTACTGTAAAGTAGGGTTGGGTTGATGGCTCAGTGGTTAAGAGCACTTGATGCTCTTGCAGAAGGCCCAGCAGCATCTGCATGCTGGCTCACGATCATTTGTAACTCCAGCTCCAGAGGATCTAACACTGGCTTCTGGCTTCTGGCTTTCTCAGATATCAAGTGTGTGTGTGATGCATAGACTCACATACAGGCAAACACTCATACACATAAAATAAAAATAAATCTTTTAAAAAAAAACTGTAAAGTCAGAAGCATCTTTGCAAATATCTTAATATTAGAAAACTAACTTAGAACCTTTTTTCCCTTTTGGTATCTGTTCGCTCTTTAAAAATCATTTTGCTCTGGAAGGTATTACTTGTATGCGATGAAATTATTTTGGCTCCAATAAACAGAAAAACAATCATCAGAGTAGATGTTTCTCTGTCACAGCCAAAAGCCTAGAAGTAGCCAGTCCCAGTGAGAGAGGCCTGTGGTTCTGGCTGTGTAACCCGCTGAGGCAGACGTATTGCACCTAAGCAACTTAGTGAGACCCTGACTCAAAACAAAACGTAAAAGAAAGATAGGTGTGTAGCTCAGTGAACTCAGTGGTAAACATTTGCCTACTGACAAAAAAAAACAAGAAAAAAAAGACTGGACGTGAGCAATCCGAGGCAGGTATGGTAGTGTGTTTATATCTGCTTATAGGGTTTATATGGTATTTTCTGCAAAAAAAAAAAACAAAAAACAAAAAAACAAAAACAAAAACCAGAATCCCCAAGACTGGTTAATTTATAATAAAGAGGAATTTAATTTTCATGAGTCTGGTGTCTAGGAAAGTCCAAAACTAAAAGGCTGTATCTAACACTGCATGATTCTAGAAGGTAGAAGAGGAAGAGAGTAAGACACAGAGAGAAATTCACTTTCATAACAAAGCTATTCCACTATGGTTATTACAATAACCCATCCATGACAGCAGAGTCCCCATGACCTAATTACCCACACAGGCCCCACCTCCCAAGTCTGCTGACTTAGGAGTTAGGTTAGGACACAAGTCATAGCTTGTGAGCTGTGTGTCAGGAATCCAGATCCTTCTATCCAGTCTCTCTATAGTAAATGGTTTCATTCTGAGGTCACAGCTTTTTCTAAAATAGCTACTGAAGCTTTGGCCACTAAATCCACATCCCAGACAGCATAAGGAATGAGAACAGGTGCCCCTAACCCTTTAAGAACATTTCCCAAACATGGCATGGGGGCGCATGCCTTTGATCCCAGAACTTGGGCAGCAGAGGTAGGCAGATCTCTCCGTGAGTTAGAGATCAGCCTGGTCTACAGAGTAAGTTCCAGGAGAACCAGGACTCCAAAGAGAAAAACTGTCTCAAAAAACTAAAAAGTGAAAATTAAAAAGATCATTTGCTGGTCCCCACAGGGAGGTGTGCACATGCCTTTTTATTTCATTAGCTGGAAATCCTAAGGCCAAGAGAGCTAGAAAGCACAATTTATTCCTGGTGGCTTGTGTGTCTACCAAAGACATGGGACCCTGTTGCTTGAGGAAGGTAATGAGAGTGGATATTGGGAACAACAGAGCCTAAATGTAATGAGAATTTCAGGATGGCATTCTATAGAAATTTCCACTCTAATATCTGGGTCTTTGTGATGGGATTCAAGTTATGTTTCTGGAAAGATAATGGAGTGAGAACGCAGGAAATTCAAGTGTGGACTGATGTGTTGATTGTGTCATTGCTCTAACAAACACCTGAGATAAACATCATATAGAGATGGACGGACTCCTTTGGCTCACCATTTTGGAAGTTTCAATTCGTGCTGTGCCAGGTAATGCACTGTAATGGCCAAACATGATGAACAAAAGCACTCACCTCATGTCTGGGCCCGCGAAGGGAGAACAGGAGAGCAGGTCCCACCATCCACTTTGAGGGCATGTCTCCCATAACCTAAAGCCTCACTTGTTAAGGGTTCCACCATGCTCATGCTGGGATCAAGCTATCGAGGAGAGTGGCAAGCTGAAGACTGAGCCCCTGACTCTGCACACACCTGAACTATAGCAACTTGGACTTGCAGTCTCTAACTCAGTGACAGCCAGATGCAGGAAATCAGGTTGAGGAAAAACAGCTTGTTTCTGGGCTTGCAATATATGGTAGTTGGTGTGCAAAGGCCCTGGGGAACCGTGGGAACAGCTTTAAGTGTGTCTAAGTGGTACCAGTCTTTTGATGTGCAGGGTTAGGAAACCATGGTTCTGAGGCTTTCTACTCCAAAGCAGCTGTGCTCCAGTTCCCATTTGCCAATTTGCAGGAATACAGGCTTTCTTGGCTGGCTCTCCTTCCTTGACTTGTACTAGAACCTAACATGGGTTTGTTTTGTTGTCATTATAGTTGCTTTATATCCGTTCGAACTCTATTTTCCAGAGGACACACCATGACCTATCCAGGGGCTCAGAATAGTTACAGATCTAATGTCTAGAGTGAGCAAACAATCCCTTTATGACCAAAGGAAGGATACAAAAGCCAAAATGCCAATTGTAATTCACCCATCTATGCATCAACCATTTCACATGAATATTGATATACATATGTGTTGTATATTTGTGAGTGTTATATATATGGCATACATCATAAAACTTTATGTAAAATATGTTTTATAAGAGAGACAGTAGCATACAGGTACTAGATCCAAGCTGACAAATTTGAATTATGGCTGTTCCGCTTTTTACCTGTGTGATCTTAGGCAAGGAACTTACATCTGTGTGCCACAGTTTCCTCACCTGTAAAAGGAGAACAATGATATGCACCTCATCAAGTCCTCATAATGAGTGTAAAACAAAATAGTCCCTGGCTCACGGTGCTTGCTCCATACAGCACCTCTCATCAGAAGGTTCAGTATCTTTTGACACACTAACATCATGGCAATAAACATATTTCTGTGTTTGCCACTGTGGCCTATTGAGGAGAGAAGAAGAGGAGAGAACCTCAATTAAGAAAGTACCTCCCCCTGTTCTTTCCTGAATAAAAATGGAGGAGGAGAAGATTGGGGGGGCGGGGAGGAGGGCCAGTAGGAGGGAAAGGACTGGGGGGGGGAGAGAGGAGGAAGGGGAAGATATGGCCAGGAAGTGAAATGAATAAATAGACAAATAAATTTATTGAAAAAAAAATAAGAAAATGCCTCCATAAAATCAAGTTGCAGGCAAGCCTATAGTGCATTTTCTTAATTAGCAATTGATGGGGGAGGGGCCAGCCCTTTGTGGGTGATGCTGTCCCTGGACTGGTGGTCCTGGGTTCTATAAGAAAGCAGGCTGAGCAAGCCAGAGGGACCAAGCCAGTGAGCAGCATCCCTCCATGGCCTCTGCACCAGCTCCCGACACCAGGTCCCTGCCCTGTTTGAGCTCCTGTGCTGACTTCCTTCAGTGATGAGCTGTGATGTGGAAGTGTAAGCCTAATAAACCCTTTCCTCCCCACTTCTTTCTGGTCATGGCTTTTGATCATAGCAATAGTAACCCTAACTGAGACAAAGTGTTAATTAAGAAAGTAAAAATTGCCAGGCCATGGAGGCACGCGCCTTTAACCCCAGCATGGGGGAGGCAGAAGCAGGCAGATCTCTGTGGGTTTGAGGTCAGCCTGACCTACAAAGTGAGTTCTAGCACAGCCAGGGCTACACAGAGAAACCCTGTCTTGAAAAAAGCAAAAGAAAAAGTAAAAATCTCATGTGGTGTTTATTTTCCATTGTTTTAAGAAGTCGACGGCTGTCATTGGGAAAGGCACCTTTTTGTTTGCAGAAGGCGGGGCCTTGTGCATGCTGGGCCACTGAGTCACTGAGTCACTTCCCCAGCCCTAGCCAAGATGATTCCAGAACTAAGCCTAGGCTTGCATACTACCTGTCTCACATATTTGCAGCCTGGCTTTAAGAGTTATTTTCTCTTCCCTAAGCCCCATTTCTTCATTTTAAAAATAGAGGTAATAATAGAATTAATGTAAGAATATATATATATATACATATATATATATATATATGTATGTATGTATACATATATACTGCTATTGTGTAGTGTTTGTGTTGTGTGTGACATTTTTCCTGGAGAGATGTGAAAAGATATCTACTCACCGCAGATAGGGTACCAATGACAACAGACTGAAATAATGATGTCACCAAAATCCAACTCTGTGAAGCAATGACTTTATAGGGGTTAGTTACAGGCATATGAAGGGTGGCTTTTAGGAGCAGCTGCATCACAGTAAGCCCTCCCTAGTGTGGGTGATGGCTCACAAAAGCTGGCCAGTTTTAGGGACTCCTAAAACCTCTGTGTTATTTACTTTCAGAGTCTTGTGTGTGTGTGTGTGTGTGTGTGTGTGTGTACAGATGTTTTGTCTGAATGTCTGTGCACCACTTGTGTGCATGGTGCCCAGGGAGCCAAAACGAGTATGAAATGGAATTGAATTGTTGTGGAGCCGCCATGTGGGTGCTGGAAATTAAACTCAGATCCCCTGAAAGAGCAGCCAGTGCTCTTCATTGCTGAGCCATCCCTCCAGCCACTACTTCTTGAGTCCTTGTGGTTTGTTTTGTTTTGTTTTGTTTTGTTTTGTTTTGAGACGGGGTGTATATAGCTTTGTAGCCCTGGCTGTCCTGGAACTCTGTAGATCAGTCTGACCTCAAACTAACAGAGATCCACCTGCCTCTGCCTCTCAAGTGCTGGGAGTGCAAGCCTGTAGGCTTGCGCCACTGTGTCCCACTAACTTCTTGAGTCTCAATGAGCCTCGATTCAGTTTCCCAAGCTTCCCTACAACGTAGCGCCTATCAACTCAAAGGAAGCTGCTATGCGACAGTTTGTCACTAAACAGACAATAAAAAGTAGTCTCACTGTCAACATTCATAAAAAAAGAAGGTTGTAGACTCTAAAGCATGTGGAGTCCAAGAATCCAAGTGGCAGGTGTCATTCTGAAGTCAGAAGGACATATTGGGTCTACAGTGTTAGCAAGGATCAGAAGCGGTAGGAAGTCAGTCCACAGAAACAGAGAAGAACAGCTTCCGTGTGGGAGTCAGTTCATGCCAATGTCAGAAATCACATGTGGAGGGAGAAGAAAGAGACAAGAAGAACAAAAGTCTAAAACTGCCCTTTGGAAGTGTGTCAAATACCCACAGGAGACAATGTGGCCTTCCTGCCCTTATCAAAGTGTGAGGACCTGTGTCCTCTCCCTCAACACAGCCTCAGCCTTCTCAAAATTGAGTGAAGAAGAGGTTCATGCACGTAGCTACCTAAGTATCTAACACACTTTTTTCCTTGGGAAGAAGTGGGAAATGAGGGCTCAGAGCCTCTCACATGGGGCCTGGGCACCGAGCATCATTTCCAGAGACCCATGCTAAAGATGAGCAATTAGTGTCTGCCACCCTGGACCACCCCCACTGAATCCAGCCCTCAGTTCTGAACGTGGCTTCCTGCTTGACGTTTGCCTAGTCCTTCTGACCAGTTTTATCTGCAAATGTAGAAGACATTCCCCTGACAGCTTGTCTACTCAAGAACTCTTGAATGCTTGGCACCTTTCATGTGTCCCAGGAGGCAACTATGTGGGGAATGTACTAGCAGCCCAGCAGCAAAAACAAAGGATGACTGGCTCTGTCTTTGGCCTTTTACACAGGATGCCATAAAACACAATTCATTCCTGTGCCCTGAAAAGAAGCTTGAACAAGGAAACATCGAGGAGGCATTTGAAAACGTGGACCAGGTAGTTGAAGGTAAACAGTTTGGGAGAATTCCTAGAGTCATTCCTTGATTCCATGCAGAACCAGCCACCAAAGGCATATGATTTCCCCTTGGGAAGCTTAGCCTCTGAAGTCCCCAGAGCTTCCCCAACTTACACTCCTCCTCAAGCCTCTGTGCATCCATGCACCTGTGTGTCTATGTTGTGTCTGGAGACTGTGACTGGAGAAGTCAGGACCAGAGTAAGTAGGAGAAAATTCCTAAAATTTGGTTCATCAAGGGCAGAGTAAGAAATAGGAACTAGAACTTGTAACTTTCAGGACTATGGTCTCTGAGGTAGTCCCCTCAATTGTCACAAGGTAAAGGTTTCTTAATGGGTGATGCTGCAGGTGGGTAGTTCACATCCCACTCATTTAAAACGCCCCATGATGGCAGCTTCCAAGCAGCACGCACATCCAGGCATGTTCCTGCACTTGCCCTTCACAGGAGAGGTCCATGTTGGAGGGCAAGAACATTTCTACATGGAAACACAGAGAGTGCTCGTTATTCCAAAGACAGAAGACAAAGAACTGGACATGTATGTGTCCACACAGGATCCAACCCATGTGCAGGTAAGGTCCAACAGGACTCCTACCTCCATCATGGCAGGCGGCCAGTCTCCATAGCCCAGGTGGCAGCCACTTCACTAAAGGAAACTTAGACTCTAGATGTTAGGTATATGTAATGCAGCTGAGACCTATCAACTATAAAAGAACAACCCTGATCATTTTTCTTCTTTATATATTTTTCCTACTCTTTGAGAATTTTGTGCATATGTACAATTTATTTTGATCATATTCATCTCCCTACTCCTCTCCAACCTACCCCAGACCTCCATCACATCCCCTTCTAAGTCTGAGTTCTCTCTCTCTCTCTTTTAATAACCATTGAGTCCAATTATGCATGTGGGCATGGCAGTGTCCACTGGAGCATCAGCAACTGGTTGCCATGCCCTCAAAGAAAAAAATAACTCTCCCCCTCCAGCAATGCCAGCTGGAGGTGGGGGTCTCATGATCCCTCCCCAGTCTGTGCTGGAATTGTGACAGGTAACTCACAGCCACTGTATTCATGACTACACCAGCTATGTCATGTCCAGAAGACACACTTCTTATTGAAAAAGAAACTCCTGTATTCCAGGATGTCCTTGAACTCACTAAATAGACAAGATTGACCTTAAACTTCCAGAACACCCTACCTCTACATCCTGAGCATTGGAATTACAGACATTCACAATCATACAGGACCTATGCAATGCTGGGGCTCAAACTCAGATCTTCATGAAACCTAGGCAAGTTATAGCCCCAGTCTGAGTGTGATCACTTTGAATTAAAACATGAAATTTATTTGCATCAGGCTTTGTTTAACTCTGTGATTGGAGGCATCACTAAAATTTTCCTATGCTCTATTTTATTCTCAAAAATAATCATTATAGATGATTTATAGAGTAAAGATATCACTTTGGACCACATCTTATCTTCCAGACAGAAAATGCTCTAAGCTTCACATCACCCTCTTTAGTAGGGGGGTGGAGTCCACTGTTTTTCACCTGTTCAAGTCCTTAGGCTCAGGCGTTTGACTACAAATGCAGCTTCCTGTAAGAACCAGGGATTTTGATATTTTTCTTTCTAGTAAATAAAGTATCTGCTCAAAGAGCTTTTGGGGGAAGATCAACGTTTTAAAAATGGTCCAGAGACTAGGGGTGGTGGTGCACACCTTTAATGCCAGCACTCGGGATGTAGAAGCAGAAGGATCTCTGAGTTGAGGTCAGCCTGGTCTACAGAGTGAGTTCCTGGACAGCCAGGGATACACAGAGATCTCAAAACTAAACAGAAGGAGGAGGAGAGAGAGAGGAAGGACAGAAGGATGGAGGGAAGGAAGGAAGGAAGAAGGGAGGGAGGGAAGGAAGGACAGAAGGAGGGAAGGAAGGAAGGAAGGACAGAAGGAGGGAAGGAAGGACAGAAGGAGGGAAGGAAGGAAGGACAGAAGGAGGGAAGGAAGGAAGGACAGAAGGAGGGAAGGAAGGACAGAAGGAGAGAAGGAAGGAAGGAAGGAAGGAAGGAGAAATGAGTAGACTCTGCCCTCTCTGCTCTTATGGGAGCAGATGTGAGTGGATTCTGCTGCATAGTTATATTTTAGGAAACAAAACACTTCGTTGTGATTTTCCTCTGTTTAAACCTCATTGTCTCTTACAGAAAACAGTGGCCTCTACCTTAAACATCCCCAGCAACAAGGTCACCTGCCATGTGAAACGAGTGGGCGGAGGTTTTGGAGGAAAGGTGGGGAGGCCAGCTGTGTTCGGGGCAATTGCTGCAGTGGGGGCTGTCAAGTAAGTTGGCTGGCTGCTTCCAGAACTTCGGGCCCGTTCCTGAGCTTTGGGGAAGATGAATTGCTTAGATGTGGAGCATGGTACCTTTCCCAAGTTCATCCTTGTTCCCTAACACTTGGCTACTTCTAGCCCAGAGTAGGATGGAGTTAAGAAAGAAAGGCTCATCACCCTCCACCAGCTCCAGGCGCTGTCTCAAAGAAGACTCACATCTTTGCTATCCATGGCTCAGCATTCAAGTGTAGCTGGCACCAACAGTGAGGGTCCTGTTCATTGTCTTTGACTATATCTGTTGTCAGTATTAGAGAACAAAGAGGAGGAGGAGCAGGAGGGGGAGAAGGAGAGGGGAGGAGATTAGGGAGAAGAAAAAGGAGATAGATGACTGAGAGGAAAAGGAGATGTTTACTGTTTTGTCTGGGTTCCAATTAATCTTCAAAGTCCCAATGCCCTGCTTCCTTGGACAGCCTCTGTGTAGCTCAGAGAAAAGTCCTGCGCCCTGGGACCTGAGTCTTCGTCCCCAGCGCAGGGTTAGCCCTGGGACCTGAGTCTTCGTCCCCAGCGCAGGGTTAGCGCAGTCAGCAGTTATCGGCTCTCGCACTCATAGCGGACCTCACCTCGTGGCTTCGGCTTTTCAAGCACAGCCACACACAGCCACCAAATGGAGCATCTGAATCCCGGTGCCTAGGCTAGCCACTTCGAGCCCTGACATCAGTATATTCCAAAACTTGCCCCTTGACCTCACTGTGCAGTCACGTGTGCAACCAGTGCCTCAAGATGCATCATGCCTGAGCACACAACAGTCCTGCATTAAGTGACCTGAGGACAGTGTTCCAGATCTCCAGCGGGCAGGAGTCCCTGGAGGTCGGAGAAAATTCCTGCCTCAAACACACATAAGAATTTTAACTTCAACTTCTGGTGGAAAGAATTTCCACCAAATCCCAAGACTTCTGAATCACAATTTGCATGAACTGTACATTTAACTGATGTTTTTCCTACTGATGTTAGCATTGCATTTACCCATTGACACTCTCCCCTTTATAACTAGTAGCAGACATATGAAAAATGGCTGGATCTAGGTGAAAGTTGAATTTGAAGGCTTAGGGACAGAACTTAGCTGACATGTGACATTAATCCTTTAGACATACCTCCAAACATTAAGTTGTGAGCACAAAGACAATAGTAACTTAGTCAGGCAATAATTCACATCACACCTAGAAGACTTTGTGCAGATTAATAGAGACCTGTGATGGGCAGATGGATAGAGAATTAAATAAGTGATACAAATGGATGGGAGGATGGACGGTGGATGAATGAGTTTTATATGTTATAAATAGATGTGGGTAGATAGTAAGGTAAGGATTTGAGCACGTAGGTAGCTAAATAGATGAATGGAAGTTCAGATGGTAAGGATGAATGGAGAATCTAAAATTTGTTTTCTGCAGAACTGGCCATCCCGTTCGCCTTGTTCTGGATAGAGAAGATGATATGTTAATAACTGGGGGAAGGCATCCATTATTTGGAAAATATAAAGTGAGTATTACATGTAAAATTATTAAAGTACCTTATTTTGTTTGTGTGACTTTGTCCTCTTCTATCATTTTTATTTTGCTGAATTCTAAAAGTAATCAGCATCTAAAATATCTGAAGATGTTCATATTTTGGATACCCATGACATTTTATGATGAGCTTTTAATTGAGTGTATAATTGTAAAAAAAAAGATGATGAAAATAAAATTTTGAATAATGACTAAAAGACACTGAGGGGCTGCGGCTATGGTTCAGTAGGTAAAGTATGCAAGCCTGGGGCCTGGAGATGGGGTCCCCAACACCCACATAAAAGCTGACAGAGTGAGACAGCTTGCCTATAGCCCCAGTGCCCAAGAAGAGACAGGGATTCCTGAGACAAGTTAATTAGATAGACTAGCCAAATCTGTGAGGTCCAGGTCTGTCAAGAAGCCCTGCCTCCATAAATAAACTGAAGTACAATCAAGAAAGATATCTAAGCAGGGTGGCACAGGCCTAGTCCCAGCACTCTGGAGGCAGAGGCAGGAAGATCGAGTTCAAGGCCAGCCTGGTCTCAGAGCTAGTTCCAGGACAGGCTCCAAAGCTACAGAGAAACCCTGTCTCAAAAAACCAGAGAGAGATCTGACATCATCCCTTGGCTCCACACACACGTGCACTCACACACAGACACGTGCAAAAAAAAATAAAAAATTAATAATAAAAATAAAAAAGCACTGTTACATGGAATAAGGATCTATATTTTTAGTGATTCCTCAAAGACAAAAAAGAAAAAGAAAAGATGCCAAAACCCCTGAATATAAGAACAACTCTTTGTAGAAGAAATGTTTAGAAACAATTTGACCATTTTCACTACAAAATAATCTTTAACAGAAACCCACTAACAGGCGAATTTAAATTCATCAAATCACACTGGCTCCATTTTTTTCTCCAACTGCAGTAGAAACACTGTTTAAAATATTCGCTGGCATCTAGTATATGATACTATTTGTTCAGATTCCTGGATGAGTACTTAGGACAGTTCTGTTGTGATATAAAGTTACAAAACAGCTTTCTTTGGGAATTGCTTAAGGCAGGAACACCTGATTTCCCAGCTGGTTTTACCATTGCCTTTGATTACTACATAATTCTATTACCTACATTGCTATTTACAAGGCACCTTGGCCACCCAGTAAGATGAGTCTGGCTCATAAATTCTCCGACATCTGTGCCCAAAGCTTTCCTGTAATGAGAGACATTATGATTCATCTCCATGCATTCTGGGATCCCAAAGACTTTCCCACAAGGAGAAAACCACAGACTAAATTAGAAAGAAAGCCATACAGAACTGCAGAGAATCTTCCGAGAGTAAGGACCATGAGAGTGGCATTTACATTCTGGGAGACAAGCAAGAATTTGAGGCTTCCATGCTGAGTGTGGAGTCAGGATTGCCCCTTGAAAGGAAAGGACTAAGCAAAACTTGGGTTAAGAAAGGTCTTCAGACACTGAAAGCCAAGGCCATAGGGGGTGGAGTGCCACACAAGAGCACACTGGAGGCAAAGTCTGTCCTTGAGACTGAGGGGTGTCTCGCATTTGGAAGGTACATTTTTAACAAACCAGTAAACTGTCCATCATTTGGTGACAGGTAGGATTCATGAACAGTGGGCGAATCAAAGCCCTAGACATTGAATGCTACATCAATGGAGGATGCACACTGGATGACTCGGAGCTGGTATGTGAGTCTGAAACCAACTGTGCTCTTGATAGTGGGTAAGATGGAAAATGTCTAATGTGTGTGGGTATCTCCTTCTGCTTTAGGTAACAGAATTCCTTGTACTAAAGCTGGAAAATGCTTATAAAATCCGCAACCTCAGATTCCGAGGTCGGGCATGCATGACAAATTTACCATCCAATACAGCCTTCCGTGGGTTTGGCTTCCCACAGGGAACCCTGGTAACAGAATCTTGTATCACAGCTGTGGCAGCCAAATGTGGGCTCCCACCAGAAAAGGTAAGATTACAACTGGGGTAGCAACCAAGGCTGATAAGGAATCAGAGGAGGGAGGAATTAGCTAGCAGCCCAGGAAACACTAGAGAAACTGCACAAATTAACCCGGCTCAGAATTTGAGCTGAGAGTTTCATTTTTGTTTTCATGTCTGTGATATGGACATGCCATCATCCATTTAGGCACTCCACTGTTGACACATAGTCAGGTTGTCTGTTACCAGTTTAGGCTGTTAAAATGGTGCTGGGACTAGAGAGAAGGCACAGTGGTTAAGAGACACACTGCTCTTCCAGAGGACCAGAACTCAGTTCCCAGCACCCACATCAGGGGCTCACAATGACCTGTAACTGAGCTCCGGCCTCTTCTGGCCTCTCTGGGCACTGTAGTCATATGCAAAAACCCACACATACATACATAATTTAAAAATAGAATCTTAAAATGAACTTGCAATGACTACCCGTATGTGCTAGGGGAAAGAATGTCTCTGTCCTTTTGTGTGGGTCTGTCTCTTGAACAAACTCACAGAAAAGGAATTGCTGGTGCACTCAAAAACTTCTTTGAGATGCTGTCCAAACTTTACTATTTGAAAACATTATTCCGTCCAATACACCAGAAGGCCTGTGGAGTATAAAGGAATTGGACCAGAGACAGGCTGACTCTGATGAAGTCAGCAACTGATGAAGATGCCATTCAGTCCTTGATCTTTCAGTGACCTCCCAGTCCTCTCTCCATCTCTACCATTACCTCAAGCCAGACCCTCTGTGCCAGCAAGGACTCTCTATGTGCCACAGCTTGAACACCTTTGTTCCTAAACACCTCCAGGTTTCCATCTCACTGGCAGAGTGCTTCCCCCACACCAGAGAACACCTAATACTATACTAGGAAAATAATAGATTCCTGAAGAAGTCATAAAAAGTGCCCATGGGCCAGGCAGTGATGGTGTACATCTTTAATACCAGCACTTGGGAGGCAGAGGCAGGTGGATCTCTGTGAGTCTGAGGTCAGCCTGGTCTACAGAGGACAGCCAAGGTTACATAGAGAAACCATGTCTTATGGATACAAAGGAGGAAAATATTACATCAGGATGAGGACGGGGATTCAAAAAAAAAATCCTGGAGATTACACTTGAGGTTCACCTTGAGGAAGGCAAATGGAAAGGTAACTAATCAAATGGAACATCATGAGCAAAGACTATGGACCCCCTTGTGTCCTGAATTCTTTGGCTATAAAATAAGAACAAGATAATTTACTTCACAGAGTTTCTGAGGACAAAATAAATTTTTGCTAAAGTGCTCATCTTTGGAGAGGTGGGAATGTAGCTCTGTGATAGACAGTTCACCCAGCCTGCAAAAACCTAAGTTCCAGCCCCAGAACCACACTTTTTTTTTTTTTTTTTTTTTTTTTGGAAAGGGCATTGTCTTAGCCAAGTGTTGTTGCTGGCGATAACACAGTCATTCTTTTCCTTCTGCTGGAACAAATTGGAGATAATGAAAACCTCCCAGGTATTTCCAGCAGGCCCTCTTTCTCTGGGCACTGAAAATTCCCAGGATATGAAGCAGATCCTGTCCAAAAACAAATTAAAAGATTTAACCATGTATTCCAAAATACTTGAAGACCTGCTAACAATCTGTTCTGCGATTTCTTTCCAGCAGAACAATCTTCATCTATGATGGTAGAGCCTGTCACCCATGATGGTAGATTCTGTCACCTATGATGATAGAGCCTGTCACCTATGATGGTAGAGCCTGTCACCTATGATGGTAGAGCCTGTCACCTATGATGGTAGAGCCTATCACCCATGATGATAGAGCCTGTCACCTATGATGATAGAGCCTGTCACCTATGATGGTAGAGCCTGTCACCTATGATGGTAGAGCATGGCTTTAGTTCACTCTCTACCAACTCTGCTCCATCCTCTGAATCTTGAAGTTTGAAGAGAAAATGGTAGACAGTAAGATGGCTCAGTGGGTAAAGGCGATTGCTGCCATGTTTGACAACCTGAGTTTTATCTCTGGGAACCATATGGTAGAAAGAGAAAACTGACTGCCATAGGCTGTCCTGACTTCCACATCTACGCTATGGCATGTACACACAGAGACACAAACACACACAGAGACACACCCAGGTGGGGGGGGATACAGGATGGATGGATAAACAGACAGATAACCCATCCTCCCCAGTCCTTCCATCACATTGCCTTTTAGACTAGTCACTATCAGCTGCACTCCGTGACAGAGATCCTGGTTGGTGCATTAAAGTGGAGATGAAAATAGCCCCACAGCTGCACATGCCATTAGGAAACAATGGGGGGGGGCTCTGTCCTCCCCACCAAAGTGCATGTATGCTTCAGAGGAAAGGCCTTCTAAGGCCCCCGAGGGCAGTCTGTCTCACCACAGGCATTGATGGAATTTCACATTTGTTTCAGATTAGGGAGAAAAACATGTACAAAACAGTTGATAAAACCATCTACAAACAAGCTTTTAGCCCGGAACCCCTGAGAAGGTGCTGGAGTGAGTGTCTGGACAAGTCTTCCTTTCACATCAGAAGGACACAAGCGGAAGAGTTCAATCGGAAGAACTACTGGAAGAAGAGGGGCATTGCTATCGTCCCCATGAAGTTTTCAGTCGGCTTTGCTGCAACAAGCTATCACCAGGTAAAGTTCATGCACAGCCCACGGTAAATGACCCTCATGTCTAAGTCTTGGTCCAAGAGTGTGTGCTGGTGTTCAGAGAATGCCACAGTTCCCAGAGCACCAGGCCCCTCCCTGTGTACACATAGGAGAAATGTCCAGAAGTCTCCTGAGTGGCTGTGTGTGGCAGCAGGGAAAAGGTCACCAAGAAACTTTAGTGACAAGCACGACAGGGACAGCAGCATGACTGCTGGGACCAGGAACTGATCCCAGGTTCGATGCTATTCGAAAGGAACAGGAGCTCACAGTGCCGTTGTTTTTTTATGCTGGGGAGGGGATGTTCCACCTGCAGGGATCCTTGGGATCCCTGCCAAGTCTCAGGCAGAGAAGTCATTCCACTGGTCTCTGGTAGCCACCTCCTCAGTAATCTGTTGGCCCTGATGGGGAAGAGGGACTGGGGTCCAGAACTGCCCAGGGTAAAACGGCAAGAGGGAAAGGCAAGCCATCCACAGGTAGATGGGGGGAAGAATAGCAACATGCATGTGGAGAAGACCTCAGACAGTGCCAGGCCTGAGCAGACCTTCTCTAAATCCCAGTGGGTCCCCGGGACCAGAAACCTGGTTAGAAATCATGGAACAGCTGTTGCTTACCCATTGCTATTAATCCAGGTCAGAAAACCCAGCAACTTCGAGAGACTTTGAGTGTTAGGGAGCTTTATGTGCATACCGTCAAAAGCATCCCTCCACTCCTATCCACTACTGACAAGCTTCTCATACACACACACACACACACACACACATGCACGCACGCACACACGCATGCACACCTGCCTCGTGAAAGGGAATTCCTCCTAGGAAGTAAAAGCAGCAGTTCATCCCTTGGCCTGCCATTTGTTAGGCGTGTGACATTAAAGTTGTTCAGCCTTTCTGAACAACTTTAGCTCCCTTGGTCATAAAGTGAGACTAACAATGACACTCTCTTAGGACTAATAAGGACTGACTAAGAAAATTAATATGGAGCACTTGGCAAGATTCCTGGAATATTCTGGGAGTCAAGCAGGGCAGCCCATCTCAGGAGAGCCCAACACACCTCAGGGCTCTTGCTCCCCTAACAGGTAGGATAAAGTGCCCTCAACTTCTGGGTCATATTCCTGCCTGGTTCCAGTGTGACCATGCCATAAACAGGTACAAGAGTTGTCACATTTGCCAGATGAGCTGAGTTAATGGCAAAAACACAACAGACCCTAGAAGAACCAATGTTGTTTCTCTCTGCCACCAAATATTGTATCTTTACCAGACTAACATGAACAGCTGGGTGACTAATAGATAGACAGATTCAACAATCGCACTAACTACCCAGGGTTAGCATAGACCCCACAAGTCAAGGATGAAGGCCTACAGACTGCACCCATTTCTGACCCCACCTGAAAATAGTGTGCACAGGCTATTCACACTTCTGCCTAGATGACCACTAAGCTGACAATTCTTTACTATCCCCAGTTAGGTGCAATGGTTTTCTAGAACAACTCACAGGAAAGCCTTCTCCATTTCATTTTTATAACCCCTTATGTAAGTGACACAACTCAGAACCGCCCAATGGAAGAGATGCCAAGGCAAGACACTAAGGAAGGACAAAGAGCTTGTCTTCACCCCCAGGGAAGTGCACAGAACTCAGGAAGGTGAGGAGAGGCTGAAGCATTCCTCACCACCACTACCACTGACATATAAATCTGCACACAGGCTGATCCCCCCCCCACCCTAAACCTCCTGGGGCCTCTCATTAGCAAAGGGTGGCACTTTTCAAGATTTAGGAAGTACCATGCCAGAACCAGAGACAAAACTAAGCACCTAGTTTCTCAAAATGACTCTACACCTCCTCTTGTCATCAATATGGCCACTTCTCACCTAAACTACAGCCCCTCTGCTGTCACCCCTGGGTGCTGGTTCCTTATCTGGCCACATTAGAAGTAAACCAGGTGATGACTTTTGGTCTCCATTTTAAAGGATTCCAACTTCCCGGCAGGGCTATAAACTCAGGCACCCAAGAACCACTTGGCTCAGCATGGAGGTGTCATTCCAGGTCATTCGATGACTCACAGGGCTGGAACACCTCACTAATCGGGCCACAGGCTACAGTGAATAAATACTGGCATTAGCATCATGCACCTTCAAGCTCCCCACCCTCCACACCCCCACCACCCACCACCCACCTCAACCCTAAGCTACCCTGGAGCCTCCAGGCATCTCCAGACTGGGAGGGGTAACACCACTTTTCCATTCTATGTAGCCACCATAACTGCAGCCCACTCAAAGTTCTCTCTAGGACACAAAGTCACACAAGGCCACTTGCCCTGCTTGGAGAGACTCAGAGCAGAGCTTGCCATGTCCCTGGAGCTGTCCTGTGATAACTATAGCAAATTACCACATGCTGGGAAGCTCAAAAAAAAAAAAAAAGGTACCCCTTCACAGTTCTACAGGTTGGAAGTCCAAACCCAAGATGTCACCAGAGCCACTGTCCCTCCAAAACTTCTGGGGAGGAATCCTTCCTCAGCTCTACCAGCCTCTGCTGGCTCCTGGCCATGCTTGGTTTATGGCAGTATAACTGCACTGGCTGCTTCCAGCTTCATAGCTATTGTCCCTAATACTACCCCAGAGCCTTCTGATAAGGACACCAGTCATTGAATTTAGGGTCCACTTCTACTAGTCTGATCATCTTAAATAATTCTATCTGCAAAAACTACTTCCAGCAAAGGGCATTCTGAGGTTCCATGTAGACACAAACCAGAGAGAGGCGTGAAAGAAAAAGTGTGGAGATGATGGATCTCTCCCAGACAGGGTCAGATGGTGCAGGGAATCTTAAGAGAATAGAGACGGGGAGGGGAACCCTAAATGCTGGACAGATGGAGACCAGGCCAAGCCAGCCAGGAAGTGAAGATAGCAAAGCAGAAGCCAGGGTCCAAGAGAAGTGGTAGTGAGTGAGACAGAACCCAGGACAAGGCAAGAAGAGACAGGGATGCCATGAGGGTGGGGGATGACACAAGATCCTAAAGGACCACTGTGACAAGGAGAGGCAATGGGGAGATTTATTCAACCCACTCACCTCTGCCTCTTGACTCCATTCATTGTCACTTCAGGGGACCTTGAGCAGCACAGGGAGATTTGAGTCTGACAGGCAGCCCAGCTCTCACAGAACCCATTATCTATGTCTTTATGCCACTGAGCATTCTGCCCATGATGAATGGATCTCAGCCTGTGTCCCCACCACCTTGTAACTCACCTGAAGCAGAACTGCACCTTGTCTGTGCTTATGTGTCTGGATGGAACTCAGGGAAGGAAAATAATCGATTCAGTAGCTTCACAATCAGCCCTCAGTTTTAGGCAAGGGGCTGACTTGCCAAAAGTTTGAGACCAAGTGGAAATGGTAACACACACCTTTAATCCTAGCACTTGGGATACTGAGTCAGGTGGATCTCTGTAAGTTCAAGGCCAGCCCCATCTATATAAGGCATTCTAGGCCATCAAAGGCTACATGATTAGAGTTTTTAAAAAAGAAAGAAAGGATGAGAGAGAAAAAGAAAGGAAAGGATGAATGGATGGATGGATGGATGGATGGATGGATGGATGGATGGATGGATGGGTGGGTGGGTGGGTGGGTGGGTGGGTGGATTCAGGTTCCTATGTAGGAAAGTTCTTTACAGTCAACTTTTGCATAGAGTAGAGCCAGGTTCCAAGGTCCTACCAGAAACCCTAACATCTCTGACCTCCCTGCTCCGGGAGACTGAGATTTCACTACCTTATTTCTTTTTCTAATTTAAAAAAAAAAATATGAATGTTTTGCCTGCATGCATGTCTTTTCACCATGTGCATGCATCACCCATTAAAGCCAAGAGGAGAGGTGAATCTTCTGGAACTGAAGTTATAGACAATTGGGAACTGCCATGTAGGTGCTGGGAATTGAGCCTGGTTCTCTAGAAGATCAGTTAACCACTAAGTCATCTCATATTGAACTTCCCTAACTGCCAGCACACATTGGATTGTCTTACAGGCAGCTGCACTTGTTCATATCTACACAGATGGGTCTGTGTTGGTTGCACATGGAGGCAATGAACTGGGACAAGGTATTCACACCAAAATGTTACAGGTAAAATAAATAAAATCAGCCATTCATCTGTCCACACATTGTTAACATGACTGAAACTTGGGGTGTTTTTAAGGCAAATGACAATTGTACATTCAAACTTAAAGACCTTGACAGGTTGAAAAACTTCTTGCATATAAACTACAGTGAACAATGTGACAGAAACCTCATGCATATGCAAATGCTCCTGGAACTTGGCCAGGGTGAGAGGTGAAAGTGACTATTAGTAAAGCCACCAGTCATGAGCCTGCAGAACACAACAATAGATGCCCCCTCCCATGCCCACACATGCTAACACAGTATTGGAGAGGGCAAATGATTCATTGACTATCAACAACCTGTAACTTTTATTTATTTATTTATTTATTTGTTTGTTTGTTTGTTTGTTTGTTTTTCCAGGAATACTGGGGGGGTTGATCTAAGGCCATGTGCAAGCAGGGCAAGTATTTTAACACTAAGCTACAATCCCAGCTCTTTTTCACTAAAAAAAAAAAAAAAAAAAAAAAAATTCATGAGTGGTTGATACTTGTGGTTGCACACATCTTTAATCCTAGCACTTTGGACATAGAGACAATCAGGTTTCTGTGAGTCTGAGGCCAGCCTGGTCTACAGGGCACATTCCAGGACAGCCAGAGCTACACAGAGAAACCCTGTCCCAGAACAAACAAAAAGATTCATTTGTATATTGTTTTTACATTCTCCTCATGCATGTGTCTGTGCATCCTGCTCATGCATGTGTCTGTGCATCCTCCTCATGCATGTGCATAAGCACTCAGACAGGACAGGACATGTATGGAGAGCAGAGGACAGTTTGGGGAAGCCAACTCTCTCCTTCCACCCTGTGGGTTCTGGTTATCAAGCTCAGGTCATCAGGCTTGGTGGCAAGTACATTTACATGCTGAGCCATCTAACCAGGCCTGACATAATTTTAAAGACATGGGATCTCAGAAGAAAAGTCTAGTCCTTTCAGTTGGATACATGGAATATTATGATGGACTTCAGATTGTTACAGTCTGTAACTTTTCACCACCTGGCCCCTTAGCTCCTCTAGAATATGACTCCCACATTACACACTTTCCAAATGACCCCTCAGTTCAGGTACATTCAGCCCTATCCCAGTCCTCCTGCCACAAATGGGAGGAAGGAAAGAAGGAAGCAAGGGAGGGAGGAAGGAATGAAAGAAGGAAAGAAGGGAAGAAAGAAAGAAATAAGAAATCGCAATGGCTGGCAAGATGGCTCAACAAGTCCAGGTATTTGCTGCCAAGTCTGACCCTGAAGTTCAATTCCCAGGACCCATGTGGTTGAAGGAGAGAACTGACTCCTAAAAGTTGTCCTCTGATGTCCACATGGATGCCATGGCACATACATGCACACAGTCATACAAACTATCTTAAAATATAATAAAAAGTACCTTTAAAATCAATGTTTTTAATGTGACCAAAATGGCTTAAGTTTTCTTAGGAATCCGTGTTGGATTTGAAATATCTTCTTTCTCACAGGTGGCCAGCCGTGAATTAAAAATACCCATGTCTCACATGCATATCTGTGAAACAAGCACAGCTACTGTACCCAATACAATTGCTACGGCAGCGTCCATCGGTGCAGATGTCAACGGCAGAGCTGTGCAGGTGACTGTGGCTGCCTCCTTCCCTGGTGAACTTTTCTGCATCTCTGGTTTTCTTATCTGCACACAGGCACAGTGGGTGGCTTCAGGGAAGTGATCCATCACACTGAGTTAGTTTTCTGTTGCTGTGATAAGAGGGCTTGTTTGTGACTTCTGATTCCAGAGAGATAAGAGTCTGTGGCTGTCACCGGAAGGTCACATGGCAGTAACTGGGACAGCAGCTGAGCGCTCACATCTTAAACCTCAAGCAGGAAGCAGAGAGTGAACTGGGAATGCAGGAAGTCTTTGAACTCTCAAAATCTACTCCCAGTGGCATACTTCTTCCAGCAGATCCATGCTAAGCCTCCCCAGTCAGCAGCAGCTGGAGACCACATATTAAATACCAGAGGCGATGGAGAGTATTTATCATTCAAATCACCACAGTCACTAGCAAAAGTTTAGACAACCAAAATATTGGGAGCAAATATTAATTAAAGCAAGGTAATACACAGACCCATAGCTCAGACACAGAAGTGCCTTTCATGCACATGTTTGGGTCCAGAGGGAATCTTTGGTCAGTCAGATAGCCAGACTTTCAGGGTGTGGTTTTCAAGGTAGCACTGAGTTTCATCATTTCAGTCACATGGAGTCAAGCATGAGGAAGACTCCAAGCTAAATCTAGAAGAGATGCTAATTTCTTGCACTCATCACCCATTAGGAGACTTAGTCTCTGGCCATGTCTGCATGCAAGGGAGGTTGGTGAACATAGAAGACACGGAATATGCCAGCCATTGTGGAAGGAAAGGAGACTGCATTTAGGGGAACAGAAATTCTGCTTCTGGAAGACACGGAAAAAGCTTTAAGACCCAACAGTGTGGAACCTGTTTCCCTGGGATGGCGAGTTCCTACAGGCAGACCAGCTGAGCCCAGCCCAGCCCCACAGACATAATGATATAGCATTACTTACCCCATGTCCCCACCAGAGCTCTCAGAGCCACCTTCTCTTAGAACTGTTTTAATTAGCATACAAAGTAATGAGTTTCGTTGTGATTGTTATTAATTTAACTGATTTAGGAGTTCTGTTATTTTAGTTTGGTTTGCTTTGTTGTTGCATTTGTGATTATTATTTGTGATTGCTATTATTTTTCTTATGTTTATGGGTGTTTTGCCTGCATGTATGACTGTGTACCTGTGGAGGCCGATGCAGGGTGTCAGATCCTCTATAACTGGAGCTACAGAATTGTGAGCTGTGATGTGGGTGCTGGGAATCAAACTCAGGTCCTCTGGACAAACAGCCAGTGCTTTTAACGGCAGGACATTTCTCCAGCACCCAGATGTTTCTGAGACAGTAGTTCAGGCTGGCTTGGAACACATTTTGTAGCCCAACTGACCTCAGACTCATGACAGTCACCTATGAGATCACAGATGTGCACTGCCACGCCTACATATATGTTCTTTTGAATTTGTCACTGAATTTGTGATGATTCTGACACTTTTTCAGCTGGGCATTGTGGGAATGTGTGTTCCTGTAGACCACTATAAGGATGTCACAAAACCTTCCTTCAAATCAGGCTTATCCATGTGAGAACAGTGGCGAGGGTGGGGACGAAACTAGTCGGATTGTCTCTGAAAAAAAAAATCATGAGTTTATATTTTGGGTAGGTGCTAACACAAGAGAGGGGCAGGTCAGACAGTGCGGAGTTATCAGTGTTATCTAGCTAAGGGCTAGAACGTCTAGTTTTAAGATCGGAAACTCTGTGAGCACTTGTTGACCTGTGCTCACTGAAAATCCTGAGTCCTAACCACAATGCTCTCTTCTTTATTTCTTCAAGAATGCCTGTGAGATCCTTCTAAAACGTCTTGAGCCTGTCATTAAGAAAAATCCAGGAGGTACATGGAGAGACTGGGTAAGTGTTCCTCCTTATAAATCTTTTACCACTGGGCATGGTGGTGCACACCTTTGATTCCAGCACTCGGGAGGCAGAGGCAGGAGGAGCTCTGTCAACTCGAGACCAGCCTGGTCTACAAAGCAAGTTCTAAGACAGCCTCCAAAGCCACAGAGAAACCCTGTCTCAAAAAACCAAATAAATAAATAAAATCTGTTACCATATGTGAGATAGCAATCCAAACCAGTACTGAGTACCACGCAGAAACAGTTTATCTAGTGCAGCGGTTCTCAACTTTCCTGATGCTGCGACCCTTTAATACAGCTCCTCATGCTGTGGGACCCCCAACTATAATTACTTCATTGCTACTTGATAACTACAATTTTGCTACTGCTATGAATCATAATATAAATACCTGTGTCTTCTGGTGGTCTTAGGTGATCCCTGTGAAAGTGTCACCCCCCCCCCAAAGGAGTCGTGACCCACAGGTTAAGAATTGCTACTGTAAGTCTCTGTCCATACTTTGGGAAGCTCTCCACGTGAGTGGTTCTGTAAGGTTGAGAGGGCTGTTCCAGATGTGTGGAGAGCACACACAGGAAAGGGCAGTCACCCAGAAGAGAAAACGATGCCTATGAGGAGCATCTGGAAGCATCCTTCCACTCTACTTGTGGAGGGAGGCAGAGAAAAGAGCCTCCATAAGCCACACAAATGCACTGATGCTCTGAGTAGGGGAGAGCACTGAATATGCCTCAAAAGAAATGATTCATTTAAGCTGAGCAGTGATGGTGCATGCCTTAAATCCCAGCACTTGGAGGCAGAGGCATGTGGATCTCAGTGAGTTCAAGGACAGCCTGGTCTACAAAGTGAGTTTCAGGGCAGCCAGGGCTGTTACACAGAGAAATCCTGTCACAAATAATAATAATAATAAACAAATGACTCATTTAATCCAACTTCACAATACACTACACTTTTTCATTAGAGTAATTGTCACACACACCTTATATGGTTAACACTTAAAAATTAACTCCAAATGTTTTTTTTTTTTTTTTTTTTTTTTGTTTTCAAGACAGGGTTTCTCTGTATTGCTTTGGAGCCTGTCCTGGAACTAGCTCTGTAGACCAGGCTGACCTGGACCTCACAGAGATCCACCTGCCTCTGCCTCTGCCTCTGCCTCCCAAGTGCTGGGATCAAAGGCGCGCGCCACCAACGCCCAGCTCCAAACTCCAAATAATTTTTTAAAAAAAATATTTATTTATATTTTGCCAGACATGGTCGTGCAGTCAGGGCTACACAGAGAAATCCTGTCTCAAAAGAGAGAGTATATGAGAAACAGCAATAAAAAAGATTTATTACTTTTGTTTGTGTGCTTGCCTGCATGTATGTGAGCGTACTTCTTGTGTATGCAGTACCTGTGGAGGCCAGAAGAGGGTGTCACATCCCCTGGAACATGAGTTACAGTTGTGAGCCGCCATGTGGGGGCTGGGAACTGAAGCAGGGCCCTCTGCAAGAGCAGCCAGTACTTCTAACTATAAACCATCCCTCCAGCCACCCCTCCAAGTAACTTTTGAGCTTATTCCCTATACCATGGATAAATCATAGGATTTTAATTTGCATTGTTCACTTCAGGCTTTCAAACTCAACCAAGGGGAAACTGTCATAGTCCAGCTGAGAAAAAAAGCTATGATGAGGACAGTTAGAGCAGAGCATCTGTATCAGGAAGCACATGTCAATTTTTATTACATATGAAATATGCTCACTTTCACCTAACAAACGGCATAGCTATTCAGTCTCTCTAAATGTGCCCATTCCACAGATAGAAACATTTTCACCTAACAAATGGTATATCTATTCAGTTTCCTTAAATGTGCCCATTCCACAGATAGAAACAGCATTTGAACAAAGAATCAGTCTTTCCGCCACTGGATACTTCAGGTAAAACTCAAAACAATATATGGCTTAGCTAAGAAAATACAAGGTAATCTGATTATTTGGGCCTCAGTCCTTATTCATGAAAAAGATTGTATTATATAATTATGGGGGTCTATTCTAAGCCCAAAATTCTGTGAATTCATATAAGTTTCTGAGTGGTATTGTTAAAGAAATATTAAATAATTAATAACCCATACAGGATTTAAAACACTGAATTACCTAATATTATTTACATTTATTTGTTTGTTTATTCTGGTGATGGGGATTGAACCTGGGACCTTGCACCTGCCAGGCAAGTACTCTACCCCAGATCTACACCCTGAGCCCTTAATGTTCTTCATCGTGAGTAGTGAAAAGACAGCATCACCACAGCTAACTTGCCACTCAACTTTACCAATTTCCCTGCCTTTGTCATAAAAAACTTTCTCCCTAGAAGCAGGTCTGGGGAGGTGAAAAATCATTTGTTCTCACTATGCAGTGTAGATCAATGAAGGGGGGTCTCAATAAATTCATGTTAATTAAATACACAAAGTAAAGAAAAGAGCTTATTATCAATTCAAGAAGGATATGGCACTACAGTTACAATTTCTTTCACCAAATAAACTACCAACCTACACACACGTGTGCAAAAGGAAATCTTCAGGGCGGGAATTCTCCTCAGTGGGAGAGTGCTTGTCTGGCTCGGGAGAGGCCCTGGTGTCAAAGCACAGCTCTGCAATGATAAAATAAAAACAACCTGTAACCATTGACTACATCTTCAGGTATAAATGAATGAATCCAATCACCAGCTCTCTTTTATCGGCCTTATTACTTTGTTATTGAGTCCCCTGTGACTTGGGTTAGCATGTTCCATGGAGGATATCCGGGAATACAGGCCATATTAATGGGGTTTCCCAATGTGCAGATAGGACCCAAGGTCAAATCTTAAGCTGTCAACCTGAGAACAAACGTCACTGTCTTCTTTGACATCTTTCCCACAGCTCAGGCACATCCCTTAAGACAGAGGCAGATAGCCATCAAGGTGAATACAAGGGAGAGGCTTGAATGAAAACAATCAAACAACCAAACAAACCCAGTTGAATGAACTAAAGAAAAAAAAAAAAAAACTAGTTGAAAGGAGTATCAGCCAGCTGAAATGCTATTGAAAACGATGGTAATTTTTTAAAGATATGGACATTGTGCTCTCTGCCTCCCCCCCCCACCTCTTCTAAAGGACTTTATTCCCTCAGGGGCTACAAGGCCTTCATGGACTGGGAGAAGCAGGAGGGAGACCCATTCCCATACTATGTCTATGGAGCTGCATGTTCGGAGGTTGAAATTGACTGCCTGACAGGTGCCCACAAGGTAAGTCAAGTCAGCATTGCCCCGGCAAGTTAGATCATCAGCAGAATCGCACACTGTGCAGAAAGTGGCCTAGTGTCTGTGGAAGAGAAGATAATTCTTCAATTCCAAGAGGATTCAAGAGATCCAGCCTCCTCTTAGAATTGTCACATAAAATAACAATATAGTAGTCAAAATGGAATGTCTGTGATTAGAGTGTTAAAGTTATCATTTCATTTCAGATGACGGAGTCACTTTCCAAAGTTTTACCCCAGAGTGGGTTTCATTCCTCAAGGACAGACAAATTGTCTGGGGGGGGGTCATTTAGTAGCAGAGCTGGTGTCCGACATAGTCATTATTCCCAGGGCAGAACAGACATCCAAAGGAACAGACAAGGACGGGGTGGGGTATGAAGAGAACGTTGTGCCGCTATTGATCATCACGAAGCCATCTACTGAAGACAGGGAGTGTATCTAGACAAAATCATTGTACCAGAAATGACAAACCTGTGAATTATACTCCAGATACCACTGGGAAAGCAAAGATGGCAGAGGTATCCAATAGTGTAAAGTATAATCAAAGAGTAACTTGTTATGTTAGAAAAATTATAATGGCCATGTCTTATCAAAATACTTCTATTTATTGTTAGAAAACTTATGTTCCATTTCAATATTAAAAGGAAATAAAAAAAATTTTTTTTAAAGATAGGGTCTCAGGTAGTTGAGGCTGGCCTTGAACTCCCCAAGTACTCAAAGATAACCTTGAACTTTCGATCTTCCTGCTTCCATGTCTCAAATGCTGGGCTTGCAAGCATGTGTAGGCATGTTCAGTTTTTGCAGAGCTAGACACCACAATCAGCCTGTGCACACTAGGCAGATGCTCTGCCAACTAAGCCATGCCCCCCCCCCGTCCATGAATAACATTGTTTAAAGATGCAGTGAAGAGATATTTCGAGAGAATTTCCCTCCTATTTCATTCAAGTTGCTCTTTCTGATACATTATATTATGTCAATGTGTTTTTATATTTAATATTTTCCCTGAGGGGGGCAGCACATGTGGCAATCAACTCACTCCTTCCACCACACGGGCCCTAGGACTCAAATTCAGGTTGTCAGCCATGGCAGCAAACACCTTTAACTGCTGAGCCATCTTGCTGGCCTCTGTGGCTCCATTTTTATTTGAGGTCATCTTAAAGAGGAAAACTGGTATGATTCCAGATTGTTTGCGTCTTGTTCTAGACTGCTTCCCGGTGGTTTTCGCATGGAGGCACACATAGATAGATAACGGTATCTGTGCAGCAATCCTGGAGGGAAGCCTGAGGCTCCCCTCAAAGGCCCAGGTGCCAGTGTCCCTGAATCCCTGGGGCTCTGCTTTAATGGGAAGCTGGGTTTGGTGACAAGCTAGTCCTAAGACCCTCCACACTGACAGGTGTGTGCCCAATTTAGCAAATAAAAACATGGGTTGGCTAATTAAACTTGAATTTCAAAAAAAAATAACAAATGCATTTCCAGCAGAAATATGCCCCCACAAAGTTCTTGGAACATACTTATTTTATCTATCAACTCTACCTAACAAAACCCTAAAGAAACAAACAGAGGAATTTTCCACAATTATGGTGTCAGAGTTAAAATTTGGTCTTTTCTGTGCCTTCTAGTTTGTACGCATACCTAAAGGTCCAGAAAGTTCAGTATGATGTTAAACTCTTAAAAACAGTTTGCTCTTTGATGAGACAAAAATCCCGTTAACCAACTAGAAACCAGAAACACTGAATCTCTGGCCCACTGTGGTCAGTTCCACAAGGCAGACTTCTGGGGATGTCTGTAGCTGATAAGCAAAGGTTTCCACCAGCTGAGCTGCCATCTCTTTCCCTTGTTCCATACCCATGGCGAAACCACAGCAAATGTCAACGTAAGTACAGTAAGGAGGGCTGAGGTGTCCCCAACCTACTTTCCCACCCAGGTTAAGAAAGATGGCTAATTCTAGGGCCTGAGAGACCCATAATCTCAGCATTTGAGTAGCTGAGGCCAGAGGACCATGAGTTTAAGGCCAGCGTGGGCTACACAGCAAGATTCAATTCCAAAAACTACCAAGAGAAGGGCTGGTGATATAGTCCAGTTGGTAAGATACTTGCCAATCATGAAGGAACCACTGGATTCCAGTACTGAATAAAACTAGTGTGGTAGTCCGTGACTGTAATCCCAGCCCTTTAGACATACAAACCAGAAGGATTTGAGAAGATCATTTACAACTAGGCTCTGGGCCAGCTTGAGTTACATGAGAACCTTTTCAAAGGAAGTAAGGAAGGAACAGGGAGAGAGAGAGAGAAAGGGAGGGAAAGAGAGAGGGAGGGAGAGAAAGAGAGAGGAAGGGAGGGAGGGAAAAAGAGAAGGAAAGAGGGAGTTCTAATCCAAAGATTAGAAAGGAGAAACCCAAATAATAATAATTATTATTATCATTATTATTATTTTGTTTTGTTTTCTGAGGCAAGGTTTCTCTATATAACAGTCCTAACTGTCCTAGAACTCACTCTGTAGACCAGTTTGGTCTCAAACTCTCATACATCTGCCTGCCTCTACTTCCTGAGTGCTGGGATTAAAGGCATGTAAAACTAATGATCAGTGAGAAACTCAGATATCAAGCCTAAACAAAGAAAGATATTACCAGAATAAACATTGGTGAATGATAGGCAAAGGAAAGTCCAGAAGTATTCCTGAGATAGCCTAGAAACACTAGAAGCTTCCTGAGGTCCCCTGCAACCAATGGGCAGAGAGAGAGAGACCAGAAGGGCTAGATAGCTTCACTGTATCTCAGAGAAGGAATCAAACCCCATGAAGACTGAGAATCAACACTTGGCCTCAGCACTCACCTTGACCCCTTCTAAAATCTTGCAAGCCCCTAACTTATACACACCATGTACTACATGATTTTCTCAGTAAAATGATAATGATGCCACCTGCATCCAACCCTTTCAAGGACTAGATACGCTCATGACTTCTACTAGAGCAATGCAACCAAGCAGAGAATCTGGTGGAAAAGCAGGCTCAATCATTTACCTGGTGACTCATTCACAAACACCAGCATGCCCTGGACTTTGGACTCACTAGCAGGACTCAAAACAGTCCATGCAGATCTTCCAGGTTGTTCCCAGGCCTGGCACCACGTGTGAAGTTTGTCAGATGTCTTCCCAATTCTGTTGCTGATAAGGCCCAGGGAGTGGTGTGGTTCTGGAATAGCAAGAATCCCTTTGGAATTTTTTTTTTAATTGAGGGAGAGTAGGTACTATGTATGCCACAACACACATGTGGAAATTAGAGGACAACTTTCAGAACTGAGGTCTCCCCTTCCACCGTATGGGTCCAGGGTTTGAACTCGGTACCAGCTATGGCACCAATTGCCTGTATAGTCTGAGCTAACCTAAAAATAGTACGTTTTAGTTTATTTATTTGTGTGTGTGTGTGTGTGTGTGTGTGTGAGAGAGAGAGAGAGAGAGAGAGAGAGAGAGAGAGAGAGAGAGAGAGATTAGGGAATCAAGCCTACAGCCTGTGCATACTAAACAAGGACTCTAATGCTGAGCTGTATCTTCCACCCCTTAGAATATTTTAATTCAAGTTTTTCTAAAGAGGTAATTTCTGTTTGTTTCAGAAAATCAGAACAGACATTGTCATGGATGCATGTTGCAGCCTGAATCCTGCCATTGATGTTGGGCAGGTAGGTGCTAACCCACCTAGGGGGAAACCCCTTCCTAAGAGTGGTTGAGGGGTAATTAAAGAACTTTCACATAAGAATATGTTGCTACATAGTTTAAAATGGTCATCCCTCCTCTTCAGATAGAAGGTGCATTTATTCAGGGAATGGGCCTTTACACCACTGAAGAGCTGCACTATTCTCCAGAAGGGGTCTTGCACTCTCGGAGCCCAGAAGAGTACAAAATTCCGTCTGTCACTGATGTCCCTGAGCAATTCAACGTGTCCTTGTTGCCATCATCTCAGACCCCACTAACTATCTATTCATCTAAGGTAAGCATATAAACTAGCTCCTCTACACCACAGCAGCCCAGGGAGCATGGTCAGCGTAAGCCATGGATGCTCGTGGTTATCTGATCAGGCCGCCTGGAGACCAACCACCTAGGGAAAACTGAGATCCAGGAAAGAGAAATGAGCCTCCCAGGAGCAATTCTGGGCCCTGGTTTCATTAATAACGTCTTTCCATGAAGTGTGTGTGTGTGTGTGTGTGTGTGTGTGTGTGTGTGTGTGTGTTCTTGCACCTCTTGGGAGAAGGCATCTTTCATTTTAAAACTTTGTCTATTTCTTTTGGGGGGGTTGTTTGTTTGTTTGTTTGTTTGTTTGTTTTGGGTTTTGGCTTTTTTTGTTTTGTTCTGTTTTGGTTTTTTTTTAAGACAGGGTTTGTCTGTGTACTCCTGGAGCTCACTCTGTAGACCAGGCTGGCCTTGTATTCACAGAGATCCACCTGCCTCTGCCTCCAGAGTACTGGGATTAAAGAAGGCACATGACACCACCACCCAGCTGTCTATTTCTTTCTTGGTTTTTGAAATGACCAGAATGACCTCAAACTCACTGCATAGGCAAGGATAACCTTGAACTCTTGATCCTCCAATCTCCACCTCCCAAAGAATGGCCAGGCTGTGTCACCATGCTCAACTCTCATCTAAGAATGAAGAATATAATATTGGGGTCTGGAGGAAGGGTTCCAGCAGTAACACAAGAACATGGGTGTGATCCTCAGGACCCATATAAAAGTTCTGGGTGTGATGGTATACTCTTAGAACCCCAGCACTGGGGAGACAGAGGCAAGAGGACCTCTGGGGCTCTCTGGCCAGTTGGTGCACCCTAATTGATGAGTTCCAGGCCAGTAAGAGGCTCTCCCTCAAAGGAGGTTGACAGCATTTCCAAGGACTGTAACTTGAGGACATCCTTGTAAAGGACTCAGGTCGGCAAATGACATAAGACCAAATTCTCAGCACAAAGGAGATGTACTTGCCCCTAAGGGACAGAGGGCATAAGAAACAAAGACAGGAGACAGAGGATGGGGAGAAGGGGAAGGAACAAGTGCTGTGGGATGTTTGTACACTGTGTGAAGGTGTATCGCTGTGACTGGTGTAATAAAAAGCTGAACAGCCAACAGCTAGGCATAGGCGGGACTTCCGGGCAGATAAAGGAAGTGGGAGGAGATGATAGACACACGAGGAAACATGAACGAAGCAGGGTGGGTGGCACATGGCAGAACATAGATTTTTTTTTTTTTAAGTGGGTTCATTTAAGTTATAAGAGCTAGTTGAGACAAGACTAAGCCAAAGGTCAAGCTTTCATAATTAATAATATGTCTATGTGTTGTTATTTGTGAGCTGGTGACCCAAAATAAAATGTGACTACAAACAAGTGCAGGTGTGGGGGTGGCATTTTCCCAGAGGACAAAGGACTGGCTCTGGATGGAGAGAAGACAGATGCAGCCCATAGACAAGCGCAGTTTATAAAGGGAAAATGGAAAACCCGTGTTAGGGTGAGCTGGTTTGTTTTGATTGGGCGTGTTAATTAGGGCAGCCAAAAGGGGGGGCTTCTGATTGCTGGACTTCAATACTTTGATAGCTGGACCTTGCTGGTCAGGAGGAGGGAGTGTCCAAATAAGGGAATAGACCAGACCTTGATGGCTGGCCTTAGGGGTGTAGTCTATGGTTTAGCAAAAAAGGGAATAGGGGAAGGGCAAGACCAGCCAGAGCCATGTTTGCTTGCTAGAGTCCTTCGCTCTGGCTTCCACACGCATGCACCCACTCACATGCACCACGAAAGGGACTGGTGGAAGAATGCAATACTGAGCTGGGTGTGTTAGCTAAACCAGTAATCCCAGCAGAGGGTGGGTTAAGGCCCACCTGTGCTGGCGGGCTATACAGAGAGTTCCAGATCAAAACAGCTAGCCCTATCTCAAAAACCAAACCAAACCAAAAGAGTACATGAGATTGATGGCATGACACCATTGAAACCTTAGACATCAGGGAACTAAAGATCTTGTTCTTACCCAGGGCCACCACCCTCCTTTCCTCTTAGGTAAATTGCCTACCTCTGAGGGGCTTGGGGCCAAACCCAGAAATTAATCTAGAATCTAGAACAGCCAGTCCCAAATGTGGTGAGAATGTCCTACCCACCCCACTCTACCCCCCACCCCAGATAGACAGACACCTGTGCAGGAGGAGACTGATAACACCTAGCTGCATTTCAGGTTGAAATAATTCAAAGGATTTTACAACAGTGCTCAGAGGCCAGTGGCTAAGCAGCTTTCAGCATGCAAGGCAGCCCTCACATCCAAGAATCATGTGGCTTCAAATGTCAATAGTGTCAGGAAGCAAAAACACCACCAACTTTATTAATGACTAAAGGAAAGGATGAGCAAATTAAAATAAAGGTCAACTTTGTTTGCATTGCTTTATGCAGATCGTGACAAACCTCCCGTGGAAACTTCACCAAGGTGTAAGATGTAAAGCCTTCCTTAAAATCTTTTGGGAAACTTCTAGGTGGGAGATTTTATGCCTCCAACTCCAGACAAAAGGCCAGCTGAGGTGCCTGTTTAACATGTTAAAGTGGGCCTGGCTGTCAGTTCTCCCAGCTTCCTGCAGTCCCTAATTGCTAAAGGACATGGCTGACACACCCCACCCCTACCCTAAACTTCTGCATCCTAGGGTCTGGGCTGCCCTTCTTCCCCAGCTGCCCTTCCTGTATAATCCGGTCATTTGGTTACCTGGCCTTTTGGTCTACCCTCTACTCTCCTGGTCTCTGGGTCTGGCCCTACCCTCTCCCTGTCTCCCTCCTGCTCACATGGCCCAGCTCAGTCTGGTCATGCTTACTCTGGACTCTCCCAAATGTCCCTGCCTCTGGCTACACTCTCCTTTTTGTCTACAATAAACTTTCTCCTTCACCATTCCTTGGAGCAGTCATGTCCTTACTTTTTAATTACTTGCTTCTCATTCAGGAGTAAATCGATTTTTCTTTCCTGAAACAAGAAAAGTAACTGCAGGAATTTCATCATTTCCAAACTGAATGTCCCCCCCCCCAAACCTAGAAGTCACCTCTGGACATGGGTGAGTGAGGCCATCACAGATCCAGAGGAAGAAGCATCGACAGGGCCTTCGGATTCTTGATGGAGAAGAAGCCATCTGCAGAGGGGGAGGTCAAAAGCTGCCCAGACCCTACAGAGAACAGCTTCAAGTCAAGAGCTCCCAGACAGGGCAGCCAGTGTGGTGGGCATGCCTGTAATCCCAGCACTCAAAAGAGGCAGGGGAATCATGAATTCAATGCCAGTCTAGGCTACAGAGCAAGAGCTCTCTAGAAAAAAACCAAGGGACCAAGGGAGGCATGGTAGTGTGTGATAATGCTAACACTCAGGAAGCAAAGGCAGGAAGGTTTGGGGACTGGATGTTCAAAGCCAGCCTAGTCTACTCCAAAGCACATTTCACAGCAAGGCCTTGTCTCAGAAACCAAACTTAGACAAATACCCTGCCTCCTTTAGCCCGGGAATCATGAGGAGTTCTTTCCTCTACTCTCGAAGTTGGCAAGTTCAAACCATTGATTATTCTAATCAGGGTGCCCTTCCCTCACCACACAGAAGCACATATATACATTGTTAATAGGTTTTCTGCTCCCTCCCCATAATGAGTTTCTCCAGCATTGCAATGAGCTAGATCAAGCTGAATTGAAAAGGTATAGAAAATGTTTATTTGAGCACAGCAACTCGTGGCAGGTTCTCCAGTCCCAGAGATCAAGGTTGGAGAAGCCGTGCCCACAAATGGAAACAGGGAGACTTTATAGGTTGTAGGTGATGGGGTGATGTTGTGTCCGACACAAGCTGGGTTTGTGCCCAAATATAGTCAAACACTGAATGCCTAGGCAGGGACTTGGGCTACTGTCAGCAACAGAAGAAGAAGTTGCAATAGTCACCAAGAATGGGCTTTTTGGCTCCTTCTTTGTTGGAGATTCTCTAAGAGGGCAGGGTTTGAAGAAAGAGAGAGATAGGAATGGGACTTTCTGGATCAATCAGGATTGAGTTGGCAGTTCCAACCGAACACTTGTATGTACACATACATGTAAACAAACCTGCATTCCCTTCCTATAGAACAAATACTTAACCCAGAGAAAATTAAAGATCCAGAAAGTTCAGTTTTTTGTTTGTTTGTTTGTTTTAAGAGCTCTTGGAGTTTCACTTGGTCAACAAGCTGGACGATAAACATTTGAGATGTTTGAAAAATTATTTATAGAAAACTGTATGCCAGGGGTTGAGAATATAATGCTGGACAAGATGAGGCCATATCCCAAAGTAACTTCTTGTCCACTATAGAAGTGCTTAAAGCAAATGTGTTGCAGAAGCAAGTGATTTCTTTGAGTTCAACCTGGTCTACACAGTGTGTTTCAGGCCAGCCGAAACCACAAAGTGAGACACTGTCTGGAAAAACAAAAACCCGATAAATTAAACAAATGTGTTTACTTGCAGGGCCTCGGAGAGTCTGGGATGTTCCTGGGGTCTTCTGTGTTTTTCGCCATTGCTGATGCGGTGGCTGCGGCACGTAGAGAAAGAGACATGGCTGAGGACTTGACAGTATGGAGCCCGGCGACACCAGAGCGCGTGCGCATGGCCTGTGCAGATCGGTTCACAGACATGGTAGGCTGTGGCTGTGCTCCCACAAGCTCAACTCTACTTCCTGCTCTTTCGGATTCTTGCACAAATCATGACCTAACCTGTGTCTAGTTGATCAAGCTATAAAATGTTAAGAGTAGCACACACAGTGGAACGTGGTGGTGCATGTTTGTCATCTCCGCAGCTGGAGGGCTGAGACAGGAGAATCACCAGCAGTGATTCAGACACTCTCGAGAACACAGTAACGATGATAATCATCTGCCTCTGACCCCAGTGCCCGCCTCTGTAGGCAGAGAGGCAGGGACCTGACTCGCTGCACCCCAGGGCTCCTGCGTAGCATTGCCCTGACCACACGGCCACTGTACCCAAAAGCTTAACCATATGTGACCTTCAAACAGTATTCTCAGTCCCATTTTACAATGATCGGGATCCCGTTTCTGGAGTGAGGAAGCTACACTCACATAAGAGCTCCCGTGAGTCTTCCTGCCCACCCGAAGCTGGCTCACACTCTCCAGCCTTCCGACAGCCTGGCTCCTGGGGAACCGACTCCGGCATTTCCACAGACCTAGACTGTTTTTAGCATTCTGGTAGTTTGGCAAAGCTGTCACAGTGGGAAGAAGTGAATCATTTAGCTTACTCACTATTCAGGATGAGGCAGCTGGGCTCTGAGGCACATGGGGTGAGACAGCATTTTCGGCCAGTTGAGACCTTGTCAAAATGTCCTCGTGGACACTAGTCTCTGTCCATGCGAGAGCAGTCTCAAATTTTCTAAAACATTCGTAAGTGGTTCCTAAACATCACCTTGTGGCAGAACCTATACTTGATATTATAAGGCTTATTTTAATAGAATTTTACATGTTGTCTTTATAAAAGTAGCACACCTTTAATCTTAGCACTAGGGAGGGAGAGGCAGGCTTATAAGTTCCAGGCCAGCCTGGTCTACTTGGTGGGTTCCACAATAGTCAGATCTACATAGTGAGACACTGTCAAATAAATAAAACAAATAAATGTAGAAGTAACACATGCCTGTTAAGTTTCAAACCCTGGACAAATGGCTCTAGTGCCTATTTAACACATCAAAGCAGATCTGGTTACTAGGTTCTCCCAGCACCCAACATCCTTAGTTCTTCTCTGCTACAGGCTATGGTGGCATACCCTGCCCCTTACTCTGAACTCTCCAGTCCAGGGGCTGGGCTGCCCTTCCCCCAGAGGCTCCTCCTATATAACCCAGACATTTCAGTGACCTGCCCTTTGTACCTTTGGTCTCCTGACTGCTGACCTGGTTCTCCTCTCTTTTCTCTTCCTTCCTCTCTCCCTCTGCCCACATGGTCCAGCTCAGTCTAGTCACGTCCACTCTGAACTCTCCCAGATGTCCCTGCCTCTACCTATAGTTTATCTACAATAAACTTTCTCCTCCACCACACCTAGGAGCAGCCTTATCCTCTCCTTTTTCTTTCTTTCATTCAATGTTCACTTTGGGAAAAATTAGAATCATAATCTTTTCAACTAGAAAAAACTATAACTATATATATATATATATATATATATATATATGAGTATGTGCGTGTGGTCATGTGTGCTCTCATGTGTTTGTGTATATAGAGACCAAAGGCTGATAGTGATACTGGGTTTGTCTCTTGATTGATCTCCATTTTACATTTCTAGAATTTATTTATTTATTTAGTTAGTTAGTTAGCTTTTGCATGTGTTTGCACATATGTGCCTGCCTGTGTGTACAGATATGAGCAGGGGCCAACAGAGCCAGAAAAGAGCATTGACTCCCTAGGAGCTGGAGCTACAGGCAGTTGTGAACCTGTGAGACCCCTGACACAGACTCTGGAAACTAAATTCTGGTCCCCTGAAAGAGCAGCAAGTGCTCTGAACTGTTGACCCATCTCTCTAGACCCCATCACCATCACTATTATTGTTGTTACTATTATTATCATTATTTTAAATAAAATTCCCTAGCTGGACCTGGAGCTCTCTGATCAGCTGGACTGGCTGGCCAGTAAGCCCCCAGAGACCCTCCTGTCCCCACCTCCCCGTGCCAAGGTCACAGTGCTCACTGCTGCACTGGACCAGTAAGCCCCAGGTGTCCCCACCTTCCGGTGCTGAGATCACATGCACACTGCTGCACCTGGCCTTTTGCACAGGTGCTAGGGATTCCCCTCCCCGCCAGCTCCTGTGAATACAATTTAACCTGGTTCTACTTTATATATATACTCACATGCTCAGCATATCTTATTTGTAAACCCATTTTCCAGAATAGGCACACCCTAGATACGAACTCTTGAAAGGATTTGAGTGGTATTGTTGGGATTCTTCTGAGCCCTCGTTCCTAGAAATCTGAGTTGAGAAGGTACTTTCCCCATGAACTGTCACTCAAAATTCCTTATTAACACTAAAAAGGAACATATCGTCCCCAGTGTACTCAAGCTACTAACTCATCATCTAGGTATAGCTGGAATAACAATACTAGGGTAGGGAAGAGTGTTATCCTACAAGCAATAAGCCCACTGCTCACAAGGTGGCTCAGACCATGCGGAGTGCAACTATTTGTTCCCTGTGGTTACCCCATTCCACTGACCTCATGAATATTTGAAAGAATAAAAATATTGGCCAATCTCCGATAAAACTTGAGGGACCCCAGAGTTACTTTGTTAATAGTCATGGCAGGAAGCATGGTAGCATGCAGGCCGACATGGTGCTGAAGAAGGAGCAAGAGTTCTACATCTGGATCCACAGGCAGCAGGAAGAGAGAGAGGCACTGGGCCTGGCTTGGGATTCAGTGGTGGTTTGAATAAGAATAACCCCCATAAACTCATAGATTTGGATGCTTGGTCACCAGAGACTAGCACTATTAGGAGCTATGGTCGTGTTGGAAGTGTGGGCTTTGAGGTTTCAGATGCTCAAGCCAGTCTGTTTGTCTGTCTCTTTCTGTCTCTGTCTCTCTCTCTCTGTCTCTGTCTCTCTCTCCTCCTGCTGCCTGTGGCTCCAGATGTACAACTCTCAGCTCCTTCTCCAGCACCGTGTCTGCCTGCATGTTGCCATGGTGATAGTGGACTAAGTCTCTGAACTGTAAGCCAGCCCCAATTTAATGTTTTTCTTTATAAGAGTTGCTGTGGTCATGGTGTCTCTTCACAGCAATAGGACATTAATTGAAGTCCACCCCTAGTGACTTACCTCCTCCAGCAAGGCCACACCTCCCAATCATTCTAAGCAGTGCCACTCCCTGATGACTAAGCACTCAAATATATGAGCCTACTGGGCCATTTCTACTCAAACCACCACACCCTCTTAGCTGATCATCCGCCAAGAGGAAAGCCAGTCTTGAGTGAAGTGTCCCAAGGAGAGCAAAGAGGGCAGTGATGGAAGACCAGAAACACACAAAAATAATCTTCTGCAGGGAATGTGAATGCCCCTCTATCCAGTGGAAAATAGCAGTGGGTACATATTTGTGACACCAGCCTTTGGGAAGCTGAAGCAGGAAGATCATGAATTTCAGGCCAGCCTGAGCTACATAGTGATACCCTGTTTTTTGGGGTTTTTTTTTGTTTGTTTGTTTGTTTGTTTTTTTAAAGAGACCCTGTTTTAAAAAACAAATTGTGTGAGATGTGTGTGTATATATATGTATGTGCATGATGTATGTATATGTATGGAATTTATATACATGGAATGGCTATGTGCACATGTGTGCATGCGTGCGTGCGTGCGTGGTGCGTGCGTGCGTGCGTGCGTGCGTGCGTGTGTGTGTGTGTGTGTGTGTGTGTGTGTACTTATATATATACTCAAGGCTCTGCTGTGCCAGATCCCTTTCCTGGCATTCTGAGAAGCTTTTATTTCAGATAGCTCAGAATTCAAATCAAGGACAGAGAAACAATGAAACACATACAGAGTATTTCTCATCACCATCACCAGATCAGCTCAGGATGCAGAAGGCCTCACAGCAGGATGGGGACTCTTGGCATAAAGCCCTGGAGGGCTGGGCAGGAAACACACACAAAGCAGCAAACATATGTTGGGGAGGCAGAGGCGTTCCTGTCAGGGGAGTAAACAGAAGTCTATGGAAACAGAGTTTACACAGCAGGATTGTGTGAGAAAGCCTGCTCTACATGGGCAACATCTCATGCAGCCCAATCTGACCTCACATTTGCTATGTAGTCCAGGATAACTTTGAACTCTTGGTCCTCCTGCCTCAACCTTCCAAGTGCTGGGATTACAGGCCTGTGCCACCATGCTAGACTGTTGACCACAGTCTATTTTACTTGAAGGATATATGCTGATCTAAAGCTGGGGCTGTAGTTCAATAGTAGCATCTTTGCTTAGCATATATAAAGCCTTGGGGTTTGGTGTCCAGCACAGACAGAAGAAAAAAAAATTAAAAGTTAAGGATATATATAATGATTCATATGGACACACAATATTGTAACCATGGCTAAAATGAATAATTTTTGTTTTCATTCCGAAGGCATAGACAGGAGGCTTATTTCAAGTTCAAGTCCAGCCTATTGGACCCAGTGAGTTTCAGACTAGCCGGAGCTACATAGCAGGACCCTATATCAAAAAGAAAATGAGGCCAGGCGGTGGTGGTGGTGCACACCTTTAATACCAGCACTCTCGGGAGGCAGAGGCAGGTGGAGCTCTGTGAGTTCAAGACCAGCCTGGTCTACAAGAGCTAGTTCCAGGAAAGTCTCCAAAACCACAGAGAACCCCTGTCTCAAAAAAAAAAAAAAAAAAAAAAAAACAAGAAAAGAGGAAAGGGAAGGCAGGGCAGGGGAGGGGAGGAGAGGGCAGAGCAGGGGAGGGGAGGGCAGGGCAGAGCAGGGCAGGGCAGGGGAGGGGAGGGCAGGGAAGGGGAGGGGAGGGGAGGGAAGAGAAGGGAAGGGAAGGAGAGGGAAGGGAAGGGGAGGGCAGGGGAGGGCAGGGGAGGGGAGGGGAGGGGAGGGGAGGGAAGGGGAGGGAAGGGGAGGGAAGGGGAGGGGAGCGAAGGGCAGGGAAGGGCAGGGGAGGGGAGGGGAGGGAAG